CCTGTAAATCTGTTCCAAGATTACTGACTAACACTGTAAGTTCTTTTAGTACTGCAAGAAATCAGGACTTCAAAAACAATATCTAATAGCTAGTTTCAATGTGCAACGTAACCATTTACCTTTAAAGCAATTAACGGATCGAATCCAAAATACCAAAGAAACAATCTTTGATCAAATAAAAGAAAAACTTGATAAGTTCTTTGAGAATCAAAAGGAATTTCCACTAAATTACTACCCTCGAATGATTACAAAAAAAGGTTTAGTTTGTCTCAGCCTTAGTTAATCTCAAGGGATCACAAGTATTAGAAAACAACCCGGAACTCAAATAGATAAATTTTTAATCTTTATAAAACTTGATTAGGTGAAATTTCCTTCACTAGACTATAGATGTGTTCAGTTGTGAAGAGAGTTTTTCAAATTGTTTCTCCAATACGGAAATGAATCCAGCAAAAAAACACTTCACATTGAGATCAATTGGCCGAACTCCAGAAAAAAAGGCAAGGCTTAGATCAATTTTTTTTTTCTGATCACTTTGGGAGTTGGATGATCGAGCAAAGTAGAGTCTTTGAGAGCAGAGAACCTTTGAAAGTCTGAGAATTCGTAGAATGAGAATGAGAATTTGAAAATTCATCTAACAAAGAGGAATCTTTAATGAAATAAATATTTTCAATTGTTTTTCAATTGCTTATAATATCTAGATACTTATTACTTGTTAGTTACGATTAAAAAAGTATGATTTAAGAGGAAATCAAAGAAGATATGCAAGTCAAAACTGGAGAGTGTTGTTGATTTGATTACCATTCTATCCGTACAACAAAATAAAACCTCAAAACAAGCTATATCTACAGTTCTATTGAATATCTTATCTCCGATAGAGCCTTTTAACCTTTTGAAATCTCAGTGGGAATGAAGGTTGAGCTGAAATAGCCGATTCTCAATACAAGTTCGCTGATCATGAGCCGTGAAATGCGTCATTTTCGATTCAAAAAAAGGAAACCTTTTTGGAGATCCTAACTTTTCTTTTCCTTGACTCTCTTAGTTTCTCAGGATGTTTGGGGGGGAAATCCTATCCATTCTCATCCCAATCGCTCGATCGGGACGTTTGGCGAACTTGTTTCCAATTCCATGTGATTTCTAACAAGATCTTTGCCGCAAACAGCTTTGCAAGAAAAACATTTGCTTTATAAAGATTTGCAAATGCCATAATGAACTGATTCTATTAGGTTGGCAACACAAATTTTCCCTATTTTAAGTACTTGATTTTAGGCTTTGAATGAGACCAATTGCCTATTCATTAACCCATTAAAAACTTGTCTAAAGGCTAGTCACTCAAAAATTCGATTTTCGACAATTCTAAGAAAAGAAAAAGTTTACACAATGATTTCTCAAAAAGCAAGCCCTGAATTCTTCCCAGATTTTTTTGATAAACCTGGCTATATTTGAAAAGTTTTTGATTAAAAAAGATCAGAGATTTCTTGAGCTGAAGTGACTTGAGACTTTTTTGAGAACCTTATTGGGACCGCTTTTTGGCCGTCCTTTCTTCTTTCTTCGGTGCATAAGTCCAGTTGTTTTTGCTTTTGAAACAATGCGAGAAACGGTCGAAGGATCGCATTTAAAGAGATCGGAGACAACGGCTCGAGAAATTCCTTTTTTGCTTGCTTTCATGATTTTTTCTCTTTCGGGCGTCGTCAAGTAGGTACCTGGCATCTGAAAAAAACAAAAATTAGTGTAAATTAATAAATTTGAAAACAATAAAAATGAGAAACATGGAATGTTGCAAGACTTTTGCACCCAGTTTTTAGGGTATTTTTTAGTAGTTTTGTCATTTACTTTTTTGTTTTGCGCTGAACTTCAAATTTGTTTTTGTAAATAAAGTGTACATGTATTATTCTAATTAAAAACAAAAAAGCCCTACGAACGGGTGGCATTTTCTATAAAAAAATTTCATCGATTTTTTTGAAAAAGTGATGTTGCAAGACTTTTGCTCGGTACTGTAGCTTTAAATCATAAAAAATCGTTTCTGAAAAAGTGAGCTAAATTTAAGCTGGAAAATAATATCTTATCAAAAATCTCTAAAATTTAAAGAGAAAGCTGCACTCATTTTTTTTACGAGTAATTTCTTGGAGTCGACTTGTGAATAATAGAAGAAAATGTTCTTGAATTGGTGGAGTCTTTAAGAAATTCCAGTCCAAACTTTTCCAGAACCTTCTTTCCAACCAAATATTAGGTCGAGTACAAATTCTTGATAACACCTTTTGTCTTTGTTTCATCAAATAGCAAACCATATCTTTTTAATATGATAATCAGACACGCATTGCCTGTTTTTGAGCAAAGTTTCATCTTGATCTACTAGCTGAAATTCATGCAAGAGGCTTTTGTTTGAAACCAGTCGATTTGGACTCTTTGATCTTCTGTGAGCCAGATTTTTCTGTTACCTCTAAACATTGTCCAGTAAAAAGTTGGTAATGTAAAGTAGATACTTTGAAGAAGATAATTTGAATAAAAACATATCGTAAATGCTGTATTAGAACGCTGTATTGCATTCAAAATTTGTTTACATTATAATGTTTACAAATTGTAAGTTCTTTCAAAGCTAAAAGTCTAAACCTCCCGTGATCCTTGTTGTTGTTCGCATCGAGCTCTCAATTGCTCATCGTTAAGCGATTTCTCAATCTGTAAAAATATTAGAAAACGTATAAACTGATAAACTAAGTCTAGACTCTTCAAAGTTTGAATTGTACCATTTGTAAGCGATCTTTGAGCGATTTGCCTGTTTTTCAGCAAAGTTTCATCTCTCTTCAAAGTATCTACTTTACATTGCCAACTTTTGGCTGGAAATATTTGCGGATTCACAGAAGATCAAAGAGTCCAAATCGACTGGTTTCAAACAAAAGCCTCCTGCTTGAATTCCAGATATTAGATCAAGATGAAACTTTGCTCAAGATGAAAAAATCAGTCGTTTTAGACTCTTTTGAAGAAGATAATTTGAACAAAAACATACCGTAAATGCTGTTGAGAACGACACCTCATTTACATTTAAAATAGAATTTCTGAATTCGCATTCAAAATTTGTTTACGTTATAATGTTTACAGCTTGTAAGTTCTTTCAAAGCTGAAAATTTAAACCCACCGTGATACTGGTTGTTGTTCGCTTCGAGCTCTTAATTGCTCATCGAAATTACCAATGTCTCAATCTGTTAAAATATTAGAAAGGAAGTCAATTTTTTAACTAATAAACTAATTCAATTTTAGACTCTTCAAAGTTTGAACCATTTGTGAGCGATCTTTCTGATTCTTTGTGCGGCCGCGGAATCGCTCGCCGTCTGGCGCAGGGCCTTTACATATGAACGGCCGTTTCCCTCCCCTCGTTGGCAATCTGTTCCGGTCCGGGTTTAACTGGCCGTATCCGAAGGGGGCACACCATTTTGGTGTGTACCGTGTCGTCGCCCATTTGGCGCAAAACTTCGGTATGTGTGGGGGTACTGATCACTTTGGTCTTTACCGTGTCGACGCCCTTTCGGCGCAAAACCACACGGAACAGGACCCGTGAAATGGCCAACTGGCGATGTGTGGGGAGGTCTTTGGCTTCCCCGCACTCCCTCCCCCTGGGCCGGCCATGAGGCCCCGGGGGAAGGATCCCCCACTAGGCTAGTCCCCCACAGTTCCCCCCCCTCCCGCTGGGCCGACCATTAGGCCCAGAGGGAGGGCGCTGCTCGACCTCCAGCCACCTCCGCGTGGTGAGCAGTGGGCATTCCCTGAAACAGGGAATGGCTAAGAGCTGGACTAGGTTAGGGACCTCAAGAGTAGCTAGAGCAGGTAGAGTAGGTAGCAGGTTGAGTACTAATTCTTGATAACGCTTTTTGTTTTTGGTTTTATCAAAGAGCAAGCCGTAGCTTTTAATAAATTTTTAATATGATAAGATCAGAATCGACTGGTTTCAAACAAAAGCCTCCTGCTTAAATTCCAGCTATTAGATCAAGATGAAACTTTGCTCAAAAACAGGCAATGCATGTCTAATTATCATATCTGAAAAAGCTATGGTTTACTCTTTGATAAAACAAAAACAAAAAGTATTAGCAAGAATTTGTACTCAACCTAATAACTAATAAAAGCAAAAATGCTATTTAAATGTAAAGAGTTTGCAAATTCTCTTTGAGAACATTTTTGTTTTGGCTTTCTAATGTCTAGTTGCATAGTCAAGTAAATCTTCAGATTTATTTCTTTAGCTACCCGTTTACAATCATTCCTTATATTGGGTTGGTGAATTGAAAACTGCCGGCTATTGTCATATGTGACAGTTTAAGCACTTTTTTTCAAAAGAAACCCATTTTGGTGTCAATGGAAAAGTGGTAGAGAATCAAAAATCAAGCTTATATCCAAATTTTCAGAACGATTCAAAAGCTGGTTTTCAAGAAATGCCAAATTTACGAATTTTCACAAAACTTGCATTTTAAGCGAAACTACTGAGTGTATCTTTTTGGAAATTTGGCTATAAGCCTAATTTTTGATTCTCTACAACTTTTCTATTGACACCAAAATGGGTTTCTTTTGAAGAAAGTGCTCAAACTGGGACATCTCCAGTCCTCCATTTTTGAGTCTCACACTTGTCTCACACACAAACCAAAATCCTACTACGAAAGAGGAATCCGCAAATTGCCTGTAAAATGAGCAGAAATCGTCAATAATAATGGAAATTATTTGGAATGTATTCATGGTTTTATGTTGAATAAATTTTAGTTCAAAGTCCCGCAGTTTGCAATTGACCAACCCAATGGCATTTTATCCACGCTTAGCCGTTGGTAAAACGTGAATCTGACTTATTTTCTATTTTCCGCAGTTTTCAATTCACCAACCCAATAAAAGTCAAACACAAAAAGATCACAATAGAAAGAAAACCCGTTTTTTTAAAGAAAACAAAATTTAAGGGGTACAGTACAAAGAAGACAAAGCAATAAACCAGATAATTTTGCGAACTCTATGAAAAATCATGAAGAAAATTAAGTTAATTGTTGTTGCACTCGATGATAAGCTCTTGTATCTAGATATTCTCTTCTCTTTAAAGCAAATATCCATGCAATGGCGGTGATGAAACCATTGATGATGACAAATTTATAGAAGGAAGAGGTTTGACCAACCTGAAAGAATATTTTTAACCGATGATAGTTATTCGAAGTGTTTTTAGAAGGTTCTTTATGGAAAATTGGCTAAATAAACAAGACTTTAGCAAATAAAGCTTTGATCTAAAGCTTTGAGTCATAGTTCCCGTTTTATGAATCATTGAATCGGGATGACTGTGTATACTGTAAGCTGTAATCTATCCTTCCTAACAGACTTATTATTAGTCCAACTTGAATGCTTTTAATTAGGGATTATAACAGTTTTCCTTACGTCTAATCGTAATATAGTTTATCTAACAATTCTTGTAGAATAACCTTCAAACAAGGCCTTAACACGATGTGCTTTGACTTTGTGCAATTCAGACGATCGAAGAAACCAGTTTGTTGGCAATGCTCTGAAATTTACGTATTGTTAAAGCTTTATTTTGAAATGTTATAATTGTTATAATCTTTTAAGAGCTTTATTGTCTTTAGAAAACTCACTAGCTTTCATAGCTTGCGTCTCGAAATCTGTACAAGCGATGCATTTGTCGAGAACAATAAATGGTTCATATTTATAGCAATCTTCTGTAGGAAGTGCTAGATTTTGATAACTTTTAGTATTTATAATAATAAACACCTGGAGAATCAACTTTATTTGTTAATGAAGAGGCTTTTAGAGCAAAATCCCCATCGTAATCGTTATCTTCAACATATTCTTCGATCACAAACACTAATATTGAAAATCTAAACGTTAATCTATGGACTTAAATGCTAAAAATTGTTACCCAATAAGTGCAAAGATTAAAGGGATCAATTTCTTCTTCGAAATCGTTTCGAAGAAATTTCCCATCAACGTGAACTTCAGTAGAACTGAAAAGTCTTAAAATACTTTTAAAAATAAAAGATTTACTTGAATTTTAAAACAAAATAAGTTAAAAGAAACCTTATTTGATTCTTATAAACCTAATTTCTTATAAACAGATGACAAAGTTCAATTCGTGGCCGAATAATCCCCACGTTAGCCCAATCGATTGGCGTCTTTCTCGTTAGCGCGCAAATTTCACAGCCGGCTGATCCCAAGGCAATTTGCTTTGCTGAAAAGAGATGGGGAATCTTGCTTTTACTAGGAATCTCTTCTCCAAATCGAAAAGGGATTCTCGGGTCTTTTCCCTTTTTTCTTTCCTCTCATTGGGGCCCTTTTCTGGAAAGAGATCATTCGACTCACTCCTTTTCCCTCCTTCCTACACACTCTTTCTTCTATTCTTCCCAGAACTCACCAAGGGAACGAATGCATCCATTTTCATCTCTTTGTATCTTCTTGACATTCAAAACACATCATATTTTCCTTCAGACAGCTAACTATAAGTAAACATGTTTATCAAAGGCTAAAACTAAAGCTAAAGCTTGAACAGAAGCGAAAATCAAGCTATTGAATCAAGCTTTTACATGCTTTTGAAAGCTTTTTATCTTCATAACTTTTTATCTTCATAATGAAGGTAACCAGAAGTTAATTCAGCTTTTACTTTTTGAGTTATAGACCTTTTAAGTGGGTCGACCCTTTCAGATGGGTAGTCTGACTTTGACTGAGATTTTCTCTATGTTTTTAGATTAAAGTTTACTAAGGAACTTTGATCGGAACTTCTGTGAACTTAATAATTGTCAAAGCACATAAAAAAAACTTCAATAATTGTCCTTTGATCGTCCAATAATTGTTCTTTGAACTCCAATAAGCGGTCTGCTTTTTGATTGCTTATCTTATCAGCAATTAAACGTTAATTGAAACAAAACTTGATTCAGTTTTTGATTCAAATTTTCTATTCAATAACTATTATCTACGATCCCCCTTTTCTTTTGATTCCATTCACTTCCCTTTTCCCCAACAAGCACTCGAGCAATCGATCGATCAAAACCACGCTCGCCATTTCCCTTTTTCCTTTTTCCTTTTTCTTCTTTTCATATCAATACACCAATAATTCCCTTCTTGTGTTCTGTTAATCTTTTACTTTTTCTATGACTTATTTTTAGGTTTCATTTGGTTTAAAGTTTAGAATTCAAGAGTTGTTTTTTTATAAATTTAACTAGTATAAGTGAGAATGGAAAAGTTATAGCATATTCTTTAACGTTAGCAGAATTTTTTTTTGATAGAACAAGAGCCAGAGGAAAATTGGTGCATAATGTAGGTAAATCTAATAGTTTTTCGGTTACACATCTTTTCAAAGATGATCAAAAATCAACCCTTGAGAAGCTCAGCAACTTTTGATCTCTGCAAAATCTTGAGAATGTTTGCAAGACCTTGACGATTGATGACAAAGAGTCTATTTTAGCAATTCAAGGTGATTTCCCCTAAAATTCTTGACCTTTTCAACATTTCTACCGCCCTCAATTCGTCAAATTAGCAGCCAAGTACTCGAAATGACAGTAGAGAAAAAGAGCTTGATGATCATCAAAACAAAAGTGATCTCTAAATGATCTCTTACACAGAAAAGTTCTCTCACAAAGTTTTAGAGGAATAGAGGAATAGAAGAGTCACGGTTCAGTACAAAGTTCTCCCCGTCAGTGTTTACTTTTCAGTCAGTGACGTCTCTAGGTAGTCAACGAAAAGAGTAACTTGTTACATTTAGGTTTGGTTTGGGGAAATTTCATCATTGGTCAAGGGTTAGCGTCAAAATTTGATGATTTATTGATGTAGTTTCTGTCTTTATGGATCTTTACGGTTAACGGCGGGGGGTAGCGATTATAGCCGGGCCGAATCTGGTGGTCAACTTACAGCTCATTTTTAAGCACCTTAAACTTGTCAGATCAGAAAGTTTTAATAAGATTTAGATAGCTTAGAATGTCAGCTTTCAGAAACTATTTGTTTTATCAAAAGCTATTAACAAAAACCTATTTAAAATCGGGCTGCAAGTTAGTCAAAAACTTGGCCCCTGCCGTTAAAGGTTCTTTGTGTGTGTTAAGGTAGCTAATTAAGTTTTAAATTAATAGTTTGGAGAAATTTCATCATTGGTCAAGGATTAGCGTCAAAATTTGATGATTTATTAATGTAGTTTCATCATCTGATCGATTTTGGCTTGATTCAACGGAAAAGTTCAGTTTTTCTCAACTCCTACTTTAATTGATCGAAATCTCAACTCTTAACTAAAGTCTGATTTCTAAAATGGCCTCTGATGATATTTAAAAATTCTGTACAAGGTGATACGAGTTATTTTATCGAAATTTTCAATTCCAGTTCCGGAGATTTCTTTTCTCAGTTCGCGTTGAGCCCGTGCGTTGAGCTTCAGCTCACAAGAAGGAATTACAAGGTTGCCGCAAAGAAAGACACCCTCACTTAGCTATCTTTTTTGCCTTTTTGAAATCAAAGACGTCAAGAAGTGCTTATTTCTCAAAAATGATAAGAAAAATCTGGGATTTGAGTCGATTTTTTGAGTTGGGAAAGCCTACTGACATCGAGATTTTCATGTTTCATGATCATTTGATTCGTGCGAGCATTTTCACTCAACTTTTCTTATCATTGAGTGTTGTTTTACGTATATAGGCGGCAAGTGAATCGGCTGAGATCTTTTCTTTTTGAATGTTGATGAAAAATCACTTGTTTTATTTGTGGAATAAGATTGTTATGTTAGACAAATCGGTTAGACATCAAATTGATCTGTTAAACTTTAAAAAAACGCAATAAGAGGTCTAAAGCTAGTAGCTTATTGATTAAAAATCTTCGTTTTTACATTATTTCAGCTTGTTTTCAAAGTTTCAATGAATTTATTCAGTGAATTTATCGAATTTATCGATCTCAGTAGCCAAATAGGAACTATAAAGGAACTAAATAGGAACTATAAAGTAACCAAATAGGAACTATAAAGGTACTGAATAGGAACTAAATAGGAACTATAAAGTAGCCAAATAGGAACTATAAAGGTACTGAATAGGAACTAAATGGGAACTAAATAGGAACTATACACTAACCAAATAGGAATTTATCGATTGGTTACATTGAGATCATCAAATTGATCTTGTTTTTTCTTAGGAAAAACATTGATTGATTGATTGATTTATTGATTTATTGATATTTTGATATCCATTGATCTTTTTTAATCGTCTTGCTTTTCTCAGGAATAACATAGATTCATATTTCTCAAAAACACAAAAAACAACTATTTAAAGAACTCGTAAACATCAAATTCCGACACCAAGAGAACTTAGCGTCATTTCTTGTTCTTTTCATTTCATCTAACAATCTCTTTTTTCCATCAAAGAATTGCGTGATTACTAGACGAGCCTCTCGGTATGTGACGAATCGTCACGCGAAACAAATTTGAGTCGAGAAAAAAGGGAAAAATGAGAGAAAAACAGAGCTGGGTTAGGGGTCGATTGAGTCTCACCGAAAACGACGAACTTTGCAGACAAAACTTTTCTATCGTTTCTAGAATTTCGTTTAGTCATTGAACATTTCAAATCTTTTCCATAACTTTCTAAAGTTACTTCAGCTGTTAAAAATAGAATACTTCAACTGTTGAATAGCTGCTGAAAGTTAAGTAAGCATTTTAAAGTAGCTTAAGTGATCCTTGAAGGACTTTTACTTGTTGGCTAGCTTACTATACGATTTTTGAAGGCTTTTTGAAGGCTTAAAGTATCTTCCCTTTACTAACTTGTTGTTTTAAAATCAATTTCCATTTGATTCCTTCATTCCATCTCCAACTAATCCCATTCATCAGCCACTCCACTCATCGATTGTTCAGCTGTTCGCTTGTCCTTCCCCTTCCCCTCCGATTCCTTCTTCAACCCCTCCTCGCGCAAGCGGATCCACTGGTCCCGTGGTGTAGCGGTTAGCACTCAGGACTCTGAATCCTGCGACGGGAGTTCAAATCTCCCCGGGACCTTCACTTTTAGCTTTTCAATCAATATCTATTTTTCCTCTATGACTCACTTCTCACTTTTAATTTCTTTTACAATCAACTGATATCAGAGCTTTTCGAGGGGTCAATGAAGCGATATGAGCGTTCTTCTAAAGCCTTTTCCCCCAAAAGGGCCTAATTTCTCAAGCATTTTTGTCAATTTTTGAAATGATTGTCGAAAAGAATCAATCATGTTGTCGTAGAAACATAGAGAAAAGACATCAATCAAATATTCATTGAAAATGGCTTTCTTTTCTCTTCTCTATCATCGACTTCAATAATTTCCCCCTTATTTCCGTTTCTTTTCGTTTTCTCTTAAACAATGATTCAATTTTATGTGATTCACACTTTTCCACGGCGCAGGCGATTCTTAAAATCGACTATCATGATTTTTTTCTTTTCACAACTTCAAGAAAGCTCTAGCTCTGTATTTTGATTGAGATAAGGCAAATTTGTAGACAAATTTTGATCTATCAAAAGCCAATAACTAAACCTATTGCTAGATTTAGATTGAACAAGGAAATTTGATCATTTTTTACACTTTTTTCCGACTTACTCACTCTGATCAAAATTTATAAAGAAAAATCCTTTAAATGCCCGCGAATTCCTCGAAATCCCAATTGTTTTCTTGTTCTTGACCTATGAATGACTCATTTTTCCTCAGAATGCTTTATATTACCGAGGAAAACATGTGACTAGTGACTAGTAGTCTAGTTCTTTTCCCCTTTCTGCAACTCGATGAGAAACACCTGTCAGAAATCAGAAATCCACATCATCGTTTCTCTCAAAACATTTTGATAGACTTTTAAAGCTTTAATATAGTCTTTTTTTGATTTAAAGTTGCAGTTATTTGGTTTCTATTGATTTTGAGGAAAAATCCTTTTCATTTTCAACTTCGATAATATAAAATGAGGACCTATATTAGGAAAAACTCTTTCATTTTCACTTAATCCTTTTTATGAAAGTAATATTCATTTTCCAGATCAACTAGATTATTTGATAACTTGATTACTTGGTTACTTGATTACTTGATTACTTGATTACTTGATTAACTTGATAACTTGATTACTTGATTACTTGATTACTTGATTACTTGATTACTTGATTACTAAGATAACTAGATTACTTGATAACTTGATAACTTGATAACTTGATAGCTTGATAACTTGATAGCTTGATAACTTGATTACTTGATAACTTGAATACTTGATTACCTGATTACCTGATTACTAGATTACTTGATTACTAGATTACTTGATAACTTGATAACTTGATTACTAAGATAACTTGATTCTCGTAAATAGATGAATGAAAAGGTGTGCAAAATGATGGAAAAAGTTTCCGATTGAAAATATTGATGTTGTCGAAAAAGTTCAAGGTCAATTCAAGTTTTCTTCTCAAATTATTGACGCAGATTTTGAGAGGTTTCATTTCATTGCTCATTTCATTTCATTTCATATAAACATCTCATTCTTTTCTAAAGGAATTTTTATTTGAATCGTCAGAATCAGAACCCAAACAAAGAAAAAAGATAGAGCAATGAAATTTTGACTTATTTGAATTATTTAAAAGCTATTTTCCTTGCAAAGTTCTCTTTTTCTTGAAGTTAATTGATCGTCTTAATCATCTTAATCATCTTGTTTATCTCCAGACTCTTTTCCGAAACTAAAAACAAGCTAAAATCCTTGCATCATCATAGAGAAAAGCGATAAGTTTAAGGAAACCGGTAAATGTCAATGGGGCAATTCTTAAAGTATTTAAAGAGTGTAGTGACTGACTGGGTGAAATGAGTCATTTCCTTTTTTTCCTTTTTTTCCTTTTTTTCAGCCCGATTCCTCTGCATCTGGCTGTGCATACACGAGGGAAAAGGAAAGGGGAAAGACACCAACACATGGGGGAAAGGCTCCCCTTTGATCATTCATTTCTTTCTCTTTCTTTCATCTTTTCTTCATTCCCTCCCTGTTTTTTCCCAATTTTTCCATTCGATCCCAAATGACGCATCGATTCGATTCACAAAACTAACTATTCTTTTGTGTTTGAAAGTGTTATTTTGTGGTTATTGATTGATGCTAGCAATATTGATTGATTTCGTTTTTCATCAGTTTTCCAGATTAGTTTTTAAAAAGATCATTTAATTAGTTAAAAACTTTTTCTTTATTTTCTTCTAGACTTTTATAATCTATTAATAGCTTTGATTTTTATAGAAATACTTTAGAAATACCTTACTGATACATTTTAGGGATCTTTCCCGTTAAGCCGAGGAGGTAACTTTGTTGGCCTACTTCCAGCTGATTTTTAGTCACCTTAAACTGATCAGATCAGAAAGTTTTAACAAGATTTAGATAGCTTAGAATGTTAGCTTTTAGAAAATATTTGTTTTATTAAAAGTTATTAACAAAAATCTATTTAAAATCGGGCTGCAAGTTGTCCAAAAAAGTGACGCCCCCGTTAACGGGAAAGATCCCATTTTATTTGGGCAAGTTGGTCAAAAACTTGGCCCCTGCCGTTAACCATAAAGGTTCTTTGTGTGTGTTAAGGTAGCTAAGTAAGTTTTGAATTAATAGCTCAAGTTTAGCTAATCTAAAAAACTTAAATTCTACCTTTACGGTTATCGACGGAGCCCAATTTTTTGGCCAGCTTGCAGCTCATTTTTAAGCACCTTAAACTTGTCAGATCAGAAAGTTTTAATAAGATTTAGATAGCTTAGCATGTCAGCTTTTAGAAAATATTTGTTTTATCAAAATTTATTGACAAAAATCTATCTGAAATCGGGCTGCAAGTTGGCCAAGTTTTTGACCCCCGTTAACGGGAAAGATCCCATTCTATTTACTTTATATCTGCTTCAGTACCTTTTTCCTACAATTATTTTTGTTTTCTTTACAGTTTCTCAAGTTTAGTTAATCTAAAAAACTTGAATTCTACCTTTACGGTTACCGACGGAGCCAAATTTTTTGACCTACTTCCAGCTGATTTTTAGTCACCTTAAACTTGTCAGGTCAGAAAGTTTTAATAAGGTTTAGATAGCTTAAAACATCAGCTTTCAGAAACTATTTGTTTTATCAAATGTTATTGAAAAAAACCTATTTAAAATCGAGCTGCAAGTTGGCCAAAAAAGTGACGCCCCCGTTGACGGGAAAGATCCCATTCTATTTACTTTATATCTGCTTCAGTACCTTTTCCTACAATTATTTTTGTTTTCTTTACAATACTTTCATTATAATTTTCTATTTTCAGATGTTCTTTTTGCAAAGGATCGCATCGAAATCTTTGTAATTGAAGAAAGAAGAAAAGAATCGAAAAATGAGTGTTGTCAGCAATCAGATTCAATCACTACTCAGCCGTCTTCAAACCGCTTTCAATGGTGAGTAAAACTAAAAGAAATATCAATTGATAAATCATAGTCTAGATATTCCTAAAAACAATAGAAATCTAAAAGTTCATTGTAGTTTGGAGGTGTTTTTAGCATCGTAAACAAGTTGAAGTTATTGTCTAAATCGGGATTAACATTGTTTATCCAGAATCCACTTCATTTTACTTTACTAATCTCTTTTTGAGATTTTATTTATAGTTTTATAAAAGTTCTGAAGAATTCTCGAAAGAAAACTAATCTTTCCTTCAAAAAAATTGAGAAATTTTATCGATTTTCGCGTGATTCTAAGCGCGGTATTTGCTGACAAGAAAAACGTGATTTCTAGCTAGAAAATGAAAAGAATATTGAAAGAATTGAAATAGAATTGAAATAGAATTTCGCTGGAATTCAAAACTTTAATGTTGAATATAGCTGCTTTATTCAGGGGAGAATAGAAGCGAATCAGATAATCATAACAGCATATAACATATTGCTACACAACTTTCACAAAAAAAGAAAGAAAGAAGACTAAAGACTAAAGAAGAAAGAAAGAAGACGGCTAGAAGAAGAAGAAGTCTGAGAATTCTTCGGCTGAAATCCTTCATCGGCTACGACATATGCTTTATTCAAGGGAAAATAGAAGCGAATCAGATAATCATAACCGCATATAACAAATTGCACAATTTTCTCAAGTGTTTCCTAACTGTAGTCTTAGTGTATTATTTTTAGTTTTCTTTCTTTCTTTGCGAAAGTATTTTAGCAATATGTTATATGCAATTATGATTATCTGATTTGCTTCTATTCGCCCCTGAATAAAGCATATGTCGTAGCCGATGAAGGATTTCAGCCGAAGAATTCTCAGACTTCTTCGGCTAGCCGATTGAGTCTCGGACTCCTTCGGCTAGCTCATTAAGTCTCAGACTCCTTCGGCTAGCCGCCTTCTTTCTCTTTAGTCTTCTTTCTTTCTTTTTTTTGTGAAAGTATTGTAGCAATATGTTATAAGCTATTATGATTATCTGATTCGCTTCTATTCTCCCACTGAATAAACCATATATATAAATAGGTAAATAAGTACGAAAAAGTTAGTTGAACGCTTCAAAAAGAGTTATTTGATTTGATTTTTACCATAGACTGATAAAGAAATGACAAAGGCATGACGAAAGCAATGAAATCACTAGAAAAGTTCGATTTTTTTCAATAATTCTATCTATTATCTAAATCTGAAGTGATTCAATTAAGAATTTCAATATTTGACCCGAAAATTTATTATAAAGAAAGAAAGAAAGCGATCACAAATGATAAAATGAAAAGAAAAAGAAACAAATTGTACTCTGCTCAAAATTTAGGGTACATTTTCGAAAATTACTTGAATTGAATGAATAAATATCGATATATAAATCGAAATCAAATCAACAATTTCTACAAAACGATGGGATACGATAAAGTGTTTTGCTTTGTAGGCGTGCAAACGAATAGTCGAATATTGGAGGATGCATTCTCGCCGGGAGTCTCTCAACTCACTCTCACACCAAGGGTATGTTTATTGGGCACTCTCCCATTATACCGGGTGACCAAGAATTACCGCAACAACATCGTATTATGTTATGTTGAATAAGATATTCAAGTTAACTTTTCGAGATGGGTTGCGTTGGTTAAAAGCCAGACCTTGTTGGTTGGTTAAAAGTTGGTTGGTTGGTTAAAAGCCAGGCCTTTTGTGTGTTGCGGTAATTCTCACTCTCACACCAAGGGTATGTTTATTGGGTACTCTCCCATTATACCCCCACAGTATCATTCCCGTTATACCCCCACATTTTATTATTATGCCAAAAATTTGCATTTTGCATCTATCCGGATCCTGTTTTTCCCAAAGAAGAAAGAAATTTTTGGAAATTTTAGAGCCACATTGAAAATAGAAGAGCTGACTCTTCAGTAGTTACATTGTATTGTGTGAAAGATGTTTCAATGTGAAGCCAATTTCCCTCCAAAACATCTAGCATTCTACCTAACCTTTACCATATCGCCAAACGATTTTCCGAGTGAGATTCGTTGACTTTACATTACAATCGTTTGTATTTAGAAGTATTATTTTTTTTATTACATTGTATTTCATTAAAAATCCATTCTAATGACAAAATATTAGGCTTTAAAAGCAAAAAAATCGAATTCAGACAAGACGAGCCTTCGAGAAAGTGGTGAAATTGATGGACGAGGTGTGCAAAGCGTGTCAGAATTCGAGGTTGAACCTCAAAAATTCTCCACCATTCATCCTCGACATTCTCCCAGAAACATATCAAGTAAGTTGAAAGTAAGCTAACAGCTAGTAAGCTAACAGGTAGTAAGCTAACAACTAGTAAGCTAACAGCTAGTAAGTAAGCTAACAGCTAGTAAGTAAGCTAACAGCTAGTAAGTAAGCTAACATCTAGTAAGCTAACAGCTAGTAAGCTAACAGCTAGTAAGTTAACAGCTAGTAAGCTAACAGCTAGTTAGCTAACAGCTAACAGCTAGTAAGCTAAGCTAACAGCAAGTAAGCTAACAGCTAGTAAGCTAAAAGATTTTTGAAATTAAAAAAATGCAATAAATCATTTAGCTTCTTGTGCAAATCTTTAAATTGGATCCAGAAATTCTTCGAGAAAACTACTATTTACGGGTATTTTTCGACAATGTTCATCGAAAGTGCAAAGGAGTGAGTTTATTTGAATGATTTAAACATTTCATTTAAATTAGAAATGAAATTGTATTTAAGAAATGCATTCAATATTTTTAGGTGTTGAAACTCTTTCGAACAAACGTGATCTTCGACGAGTTGTCACAAGAGAGGAGAAGTCTTACAAAATACTCTCTCATTTTCAGTCATATGCTTTCAGAACTCAAGGTTTTATAGTAAAAGAGTAAAACTAAAGAATGATTTAGTCTGAATTTCCAAATGGAATTTTCGTTGGTGGAAAATTTCGGATAACGAAGAAAGAAGCGGCCGAGTTTTGGGAGAACTCTTTCAAAAGCGCGTAAGTATTTTCATTTTCTCAAGAACAGAAGATTTACTATCATTTACTATCAAAAGCTTTTGTACAGCTTTCCCTCTCTTTCTTCCTTACTTTCTTCTTCCTTGTCTTCACAAGGTTTTCACAAGTCAAGAAGCCTTCAAAAAAATCTCTTGGTCAAAGAAGGAGCTGATAGCTCAGTGGTAGAGCATCTGCGGTAAGCAGAAGGTTTAATTCCCGCTAGGTTCCAAATTCTTTGCCATTTATTTCTTTCGTTTATAGCTCGAAATTTAGAACTCTTGTTCAATGGACTGTCTTCGTCAACGAGTTGGTGAAAGTTCATCCGATGACTGATTTAGAGCAAGTGGCGTTGAAAGAAACAATGGATCTCACTGGAAATGATCATGTCTCGAATTTTGAATTTGATGTCTTCACAAGGTTTTCACAAGTCAAGAAGCCTTCAAAAAATCTTTGTTTAGATTATTTTACCCATGGAAATCATTGCTACAAAATTGGCAACTCTTGACAACAGCTCATCCTGGATATGTGGCCTTTTTGACGTATGATGAAGTGAAAAAAGTGTTGGAGAAGTTGACAGAAAGACCTGGAAGGTTTGTCTTGATTTTCATAATGTTTACAACAATTTGAGAGCTGGATAGGAAGTAAATTCTTTTAGTTATGTCTTCCGATTGTCATGTACTCGACTCGGTCAATGGGCTATTGGTTATGTGGCTCCTGACGGGAAAATTTATCAAACAATTCCACAAAATAAAAGTCTAATTCAAGCGCTAATTGAGGGATCAAAGGAAGGATTGTAAGTTCTTTTTTATAAAATTTGAATACAATTTATCAATATCAATATGTTTCTCAATTCTTTCTAACTCTAATCTTTCAGTTATCTCTTTCCGAATGGTCAAACGAAAGATATCGATTTGACGGCTTCACTCGAAGCTATGCCAACTGATAGAATACGAGTTACATCAGATCAATATGAGGTATAAAAATAACCATTCAAAAATTACCAATCATTACCAATTTATCTTAATAATCATATTCATAAAGAATATAAATATCTAGAGAGATTAAAGACTAACGCCATTTGAAAAACTCTTTAGATCTATTGCGAAATGGGAACAACATTCGAGTTGTGCAAAATTTGCGACGATAACGAGAAAAACATCAAGATTGAACCATGTGGACACTTGTTGTGTCAACAATGTCTCACCACTTGGCAGGTTAGTTATTTGAATTTTCAATCAGACTACTCATTCTTCTAATTTTAGGATTCTTCTGAGGGTGGCAATACTTGTCCTTTCTGTCGATATGAGATCAAAGGCACATCAAAGGTTTATTCAAATAATTTCTTGCTTATCCTGTTTTTCTAAAATCTCAGGTGGTTATCGAATCGTTTGCGCCAGTTCTTGGAAGGAAATCTTCAAGTACGAAAAGGGGAAGTGTTCAAGTTCCTCGAAAGCCAGCTCCACCGCCAGAAAGTTGTAGAAAGATTCCCGAGGTGAGTAAATATGTTGTTATATTGTTATATATAATGTTATATTGTTTTTAAAGTGATACAAGGTATTGGGTTGGTGAATTGAAAACTGCGGGACTTTGAACTAAAATTTATTCAGCATAAAACCATGAATTCATTCGAAATAATTTCCATTATTATTGACGACTTCTGCCCATTTTACAGGCAATTTGCTGATTCCTCTTTCGTAGTAGGATTTTGGTTTGTGTGTGAGACAAGTGTGAGACTCAAAAATGGAGGACTGGAGATGTCCTGGAGATGATCAGTTTGAGCACTTTCTTCAAAATAAACCCATTTCGGTGTCAATAGAAAAGTTGTAGAGAATCAAAAATGAAGCTTATATCCAAATTTCCAAAAAGATACACTTAGTAGTTTCGCTTAAAATGCAAGTTTTGTGAAAATTCGTAAATTTGGCATTTCTTGAAAACCAGTTTTTGAATCATTCTGAAAATTTGGATATAAGCTTGATTTTTGATTCTCTACAACTTTTCCATGGACACCAAAATGGGTTTCTTTTGAAGAAAGTGCTCAAACTGTCACATATAACAATAGCCGGCAGTTTTCAATTCACCAACCCAATATTTCCTTAAATCATCCTTTCCTTTGTTGCTTTATAGTATTTTTTTTATAGTATTAATCATAAACTTACACAGAATTTAATTGTTTAATAAGTTTTACCAAGAAAACGTACCCAAAAGGAAGGTGCTTTGATTTAGAAACTTAAAAAAACCAATAAAACTGAAATTTAGGTAAAACTCCGATCAGCCTCTGATTCTGCAGCAAACGAGCCATGCATTTCGGTAGAACAGAATCCACCGACTCGATCTTATCAAGATGTTTCTTCAACAACATGCGAATTGACTGCACCATTGATAACTTTTGATGATGGACCATCAAATTCGCAAAGAAGCAGTAGATTGGTTAGTTTTCTAATTCTAATCTAAATATCATTTCATTGTTGTGCTCTAATCAAAGTCACTATTTAACACTATTTGTGGAATGTGGTTGTGAAAAGGTGTTTGTTAAACGAAATTGAGTTAAAGTGACACAAAATCTGCTAGCTTTTACATTTTAACACTTGTATTTGTGTTTTCTTCCTTATTTGCACCCTTTGTTTTCTAGCGACCGTCGATGGGAATGAAGGAAAGGATGAGAAGATTGTCGAAATCGAATGAGCAACTCAAAGAAACACTCTATTCACCCAGTGTAATGCTAATGATTGCTGTGAAAGTCTTGTATTTGTCTAACCAAAATTTGCCTTAATTTTATTAAAAACCAGAAGCTTCGTTTGGGCGGCGAGAGGAGGCGAACCCGCGACCTCTCTCCCATTCGTTTGTAAGACGTGTGCGTTGACCACTCGGCCATTCGATGGCGCAGTGCGAGCGCACTTGTCTCTAGCTCACAAAACCCGGGTTTGACTCCCGCCCGCATCGGCATTTTTGGTTTTTTAAAAATTTTAAAACATTTTGCACAACTACATGAAATTCTAAGCTAAACTAATTATATTAGGTTGATGCAAAAGTCTTTTTCATTTTTTCCGTACTTCTTTTGAAAAATAACAAAGTAATCAATTAACCTATGGTTTGCTCTAAATGAAAAGTGTTTATTGTTCAATTTCCCATCTTTTTAAGTCAATTTGGGTTCACTTTCAAGCAAATTCGAGAGTGAAAACGGGTTTTTCATAAAAATCTATAAAAACCTCTATAAAGAAATTGGCTGAATCAATTTCTCTGAAAATCTGAAAAAATATCTAACTTTTTGTGCTCTATCTTTTATTTATTAACATCAAGATTGGTTTCCTTAGCTAAAGCGTCTAAAATGCATCATCGAGCCGTCGCCTTTTTTGACTACCCGAATTCAGGCTCTCAAAAAAATCTAGACATAAGACATTTTAAACTCGTTTTAATGTCATTTTGCAGAAAAATAATTGGCCTTTCGAATGCAATAAACCGTTGTTCAATTGGTGCATTTGTTACTTTTTAACGGAAGTACGAAAAAAATGAAAAAGACTTTTGCATAAACCTAATAAATCATTTGAAATGGTCCACTGGGCGTAGTGCGCACAGACAGACGTCTTAGTCCTTTTATATAATAGATTTCAATAAGCTAGACTGAGGTTTAGGATCTCAACTTCGATAGCCCGGAACGGAAAGACTCTGGTTCGAGTTCAGCTCCGACTCTAGCCTTAGCTCCGAATCTACCCTTAGCTCCGACTCTAGCCTCAGCTCCGACTCTAGCCTCAGCTCCACCACTTCATCCAAGAAAGGTAAGAAAAGATTTAAATGCTAGAAAATAAAGAAAATCAATTGTAAAATCAACTCAAATTTTAGTCATCTCCAACTTTGGATATTACCGATTTACCAGTGGCTCCACCTCCGCCTCGTCCACCGAAAACACCGGTAATTTGAATTGAAAACTGTTAGAAAAGGATTTCACAAGAGATTTGATTCTTATCAGTAAGGACTAGAGAATAGAAAGTGACTATAAAAGTTAGATTAAACTAGTTTCCACATTGTTTAACTCTGAACAATGTCTCTGAACAATAAGGAAACTTTCAGAAAACCGAGCCCATTCCCCAAATGTACATGAACGTTTCCGAGGCGGATAAAGAAAAGGGTTACGTGAATGCCTCATCATTTCCACAAAATCAATAAGCTTCTCCTATTATGTGAAAAACAATGTGATACAATTGCTCAAATTTTGTCGAATTTGTCGAATTTGTCGAATTTTTGAACAAATTAAGCCCAATATTATTTGAAATGTGACGAGCTTTCCCCTCAAATCTTTGTTTTCTTTGTTTTCTTTGTTTTTTTCATTTGTTAGCAACAATTTGCGCAATATTATGGGTACTTTGCGGAGAGAGACTTTTCTAAAAATAGATAGTTAGATAAGATAAATCATTTTATTCTTTTATTCTATGCGTTAGACGCCTTGCGTTTGCAAGGCGTCTAACGTCTAACGTCTAACGTCTAATTTCTTGGTCAAGTGCTTTAGAAAAATCTTCTATGACCAATTTTCTTGAAAATTTCGTGATTTTTGTGATTTGTCAATTTCAAATCAGTATTTAACTCTAGCATATCTCGGTTGGAAAACAATTTTCTTTGAATATTCTCGTGTTAGGAAACGTTTTTGTGTTGTCTCTCTTGCCTTTTATATTTTATCGAAAATTTCTTATGTCTCTCGCCATTCTTTTGGGTCATTTCTTTGTTTTTTCCTTTTTCTTACGTGATTTTTGAAGAGGTTTATTTAAATAAAACCTATCTAATTATATAATAAAAGATTTGAATAAAATAGATGAAGAAAAATATGTTTTAAAAAGATGAATCAAACTATAAGATGTAATTTTAAAGATTTTAAAGCTTCAATCATCGTTTTCTTGGGAATTGATCCCCAAAAACGCAGCATTTTCATCTTCTAAGTATCCAATTTTTGTAAAACCTATTTTAAAGAGATCTATACTCTCTTATAAAAGATAAAACTTTAAAAACTAAAAAAATTAGTAAGGAAACGATGAGAATCACTGGTAGTTTTGTAAAACAAAGTTGAGAGAATCTCTATAAACAATTGCGAATGCAAAAGGCGCTTTCACAGAGACCTGGGCCACGACATCGACCGCTGAACGAGCCCTGAGAACGGCGCATCGAGCCCTTGAAAGGAACCTCCTCGGGTACAATAGGAAGACGCAGCTCGACCAAGACCTAAGAAGTACGGATATGCGCCAGCTCTCGGGACTCAGAGATCCAGTGGAAGTGATTGAGAGAAAAAGACTCAGATGGGCCGGCCACGTAGCCAGAAGAACAGACGACAGATGGACGATACGGATTACAGAGTGGCTACCACGAGACCAGAAGAGGCCCATCGGAAGACCAGCAACGAGGTGGAGCACAAGAGTGGCAGAGACGGTCAGAGAAAGGATGGCTAGAGTGCAACCAGCACCAGCAAGTCGAAGACTTCGAACCAGGAACAATCAAGCTAGGAAACACTGGATGAGAATAGCAAGGGATAGAGAAATGTGGAAGCAGGTTGTGATCTGCGCAAATAGGAACATCTGAGTACGAAAACAGATCAAAAAAAAAGGCGTTTTCACAGAAAGGCAATTGATTATCTAATCACATAAAATATTGTGACTTTTAATGTTAGCTCTGCAATTAAAATAACATCAATAGCTTCAGTAAGATCAGTCAAGTCACTTCAAAAGAAAAAAAAAACGTAAAACATGTGTGCAAACCACGTCTACAACAAACTCAATCAGAAAAAAGCCGACTTTTCTCACTTGGAAGAAAAGAAAAGTTTTTAAGAATGCCTGTTTACAAAATAAAATCAAAAAGTGTCTTATTTTTCATGAGTTAACCCAATAAAACTGTCGCAAATATGTTAAATGCCTTTTTTTGTGCTCGAACCGTAATATATCAGAAAATCAACCTTCCGAAGATTGGATTGTTCTGAAATTTTTCGGAAACTATGTAATCGATAAAGCGTTTTATTGTAAAAAGTATGCAATCACTCAAAAATATATTAGCTCATGAATGCTAGAAATCAGGATTTTAAACTCTTACATTAAAATGCCTGAAAAAGTTCTAAAATAAAACATTTTTCAAAGATTCAAAAAAGCCATTTTGTAGATTAAGGATAGGGCTTTTGAATCAAGCAAACCGTTTTTTGATTGGATAAGCCGTTTTTTCAGAAAACACATTATCAAAAAGCGATCGTTTATAACTTGCCAACCTAATATTAACAATTACTTTTGTACAGATCCAAAAGGGAAACTTTCAGAGTTGACGTATGAGAAAAGCAGGCCAATTATGTCTGTCGAGATGAGGCTTAAATCGATTGCGACAGAAGAGAGAAAGTATTGGGGTAACTTTCATTATAATGTGTAGATTTTTGTTGCAGACGAAGGTTCTTTTGGATTATAGGCGGTAGAAACGATAGAAACCAAAAAAACGATCGTTTATAACTTGCCAACCTAATACAAGGAACCATTTCTATTTTGAGAATACCAAAAAATTTGTCGTTTTTAAGAGACTTTAAGGCAATAAATATTTATGTGATGGCTCAGGCTCTATTCCTGAATTTCCTCTCATTGACACAAGAAGAATTTCCTTGAATTCTCAATTCATGGCCTTCTGACAGTGAACATCGATGGGATTCTTGGATCAAATCTATTTATTTCTGAAATTGTTTTTAAATTTTTACCATTTTGAAACTATGTGGGCCTGATCTTTTCCCTCACTCTTAGCTCATTTTTGTCTACTCATACTGGTTCGCTCGACTCTACTGGCGATTAACGAAGGAGCATAGAAGCTAGCATAGCATAGCATAGCATAGAAGAATACTCCAAGCTCTTTGTGCCACTTATGGGACTAATATGCTCACCAATATTACATGTCATCGTTTTTGCACCTGCTAGAAAGTGCAAATGTAACCGAAAAGGTTGTCAACGAAAAACGGAAGTCGGGAAACCTCTTTTTATTTAGGTGTCGTTATTATTTGTTAATCTGAAGGAAAATTTTGAGTGCATTTTAACAGTTTATTCATGATGACGGTAGATTTGTAATGCTAATTTGCAATGCTAATCAATGCTAATTTGTTTCTGTAGGCCCTCAATGGAGTTCCATCGGGAGCCACAGCCCAGGGGATGATGCCGGCCACACAAGTGAAGGTGTGCATCTCGGTCTCTGGCACCAGTTTCCACCTCAAATCCTGCGCATCCAAGTAGGCATTCAGCGAAAAGTCGGCTAAATTTGAAGGAATAGATTTTAGTGGAGTAAAAAAATCAAAGAATTGCTTTAAAGCTAGCCTTGGATGAGACTCGATAGGGAAGTTTCTACAAAATTTCGCGTAGCCTATTTCTTTTTCAATTGAGCTTCCATGCTTTTCTTTTCAGACAAATTTGTGATAAGAAAACAAAGAGATTAGTGGTTTTTAGCCTAACCTAATTCTAGTTGAGTTTGTAATTTTAACTTAAGAACAAACTTGCTGGCCCTTTGAACTGTTGATAGTCAAGTGGGGTGTTGTCGGTCCATTTCCACTGGTGCTGAGAGGCGTCACCCTCAATGCCGATCCAGTTCTGGGTCTCGCCGGTGAAACCTATAAATCGGGCTCTATAGCTTAATGATCTTTCGATTTAATGACTAAACTTATAAATTCTATGGCTAAATCTAGAAAAACAGTTCTATCTTTTCATCTATAGATTTACCTTGCGCCGACTTGGCAATGTACGCGTTTTGGTCGGCGTTGTGAATGGAGGGAAGCTCACCGCCAGTCTTCAAACACTGTTCATGAGCCGTTTTCCAATTCTCTAAAATAAAATTGTTTGTCATGTCAGGTTTTAAAATAAAAATATGATTAAAAATTGATTTCAAAGTGATTTTTTTTGTTTCAACTTTTGTAAAAAGTAATTTTGCTGCCTTCTACTTTATAAAGTAAGAGTTGTGAAGTTTTAACTCGAGTTTGAAAAGACTTCATGATCTTAATTAACACTTGATGCTAACCGTTAAGTAAAGTTATGCAAGAACGAAATAATTACCGCTTAAACTTGCCTGCTCTCGGCGAATAGTACATGCAATCGTTCCCGCCGACATAAGTGTATCCCTTAGGGCAATCGAAGCCATAGGGCAACACGTTAGCGCTTAGAGCACTTCCAAGAATGCCCAAGAGCAATGAGAACTTGAGGAAAATCATTTTAAATGTTTTCACAAAACTTGGCATGCTCTAGAACAGAATCTAGTGTCTTTTATATGAGTTTTGAGGCAAGAGAAAAGGAAAGATAAAGAGATAAAGAGATTCAAACAAAAGAGATATGACGAGACGCTTGCCTCTATCAATGATCACAAAGGTTTATCTGTAACAAAATTCAATGTATCATCTAGCTGTCTTTTTGTCAAAAAAAAATCGTCTTTGAACCGTATCACAAATCTTGGATCAGGGGTTCCTTGTATTTTGGGACGAATCCAATCACAAAATACACACTGATTGGTCTTATCTCTCATACTTTCAAATAATACTTTGTTTTTCGAAATGAGGCTAGCTAAAATTAGCTAAAAAGCTAGCTTTTCTAACTAATGAAATTAATAATATTTGTGCTATAATGCTATAATTTTAATCATCTTTCTTTATGCTATTTTTGAATGTTGCAAGCTTTTTATTCTTTTACAAATTCGAGTTTTTTTTTTCAAAAACGTTTAAGTGGTCAAGAAATCAAAAAAAAATGATCGTGTTGCGTCTGTATTAGCTTAGATTTTTATATCTATTTTATGAGTAAATAGATTAAAAGCGCAAATGCATTCTTGGTGGGGGCCCAGAAAGGGAAGGGTCTGTGGTCGACCCCGTCCGATCTGCCAAGTTGAGCAACGTCGGCGCGGGTTAGTCGTGGGTTCGACTCCCATGGGTTCCCCTCCGAGCGCCCCAGCCCGGAGTATCATCGGCTACGACAACTACACTTCTGCCTCAGTAAAATGTGGAAGCGGGTTGTGATCTGCGCTAAGTGCGAAGACAGATCAAATCATTATTATTTTTATTCTTGGTGCTTATTGACGGTGGAAGATGACGAGATGAAAATGTTAATCGAGGAGATTATCCGTAACGCTAAACTTATTTAGAAAATCGACGCTGAACTTGTCCCGTCAATTAACAAAACTTTCCACCACTTGAGCTTGATTTTAATGAAAAATATTCTCTGACTCAGTAGCAAATAAGTCGCTGAAAATATCCCTACTATGGTTTATTCCATTGACCTTTCCAGCTATCAACCAAACTAAAGTACCCACACAGTTGTGCTTAAAGCTTGAAAGCTAGAAATTAGATATAAAAAAATCTTGAGTAACTAGAAGTTTTGGGCATTCGACCAATCACTTGTCGGATGCTTTATAAAGATTTTTATAAACAAACGTTTTATTTTGAGAGTTTCATGATTTTATTTTTGTGTTTATGAACAACTTTTGTGTCTCTCATCATTCTTTTTAGTCATTTCTGTGTTTTATTCTTTTTTACATGTTCTTTTGAAGAATTTATTGAAGAATTTGAATAAAACATATCTAGTTGAATAATAAAAGGATTTGGCTAATAGATACGCAATACGCAACAATGAGAGATCAAGTAAAAGAGATCAAGAAAATGACTAGGCAATGTCAAAAAAAGCACTTGTAAGCTGAAATTTGAACAATTTTAGTAATGAAATTTATAGTTTTCAAAAAGATTTTAGCTGTTTAAATGAATCTTAATTTTCAAGTAAACATTCTTTAATAAAATCGTCAATAGGAAAATCTTTAGTTTGATTTACAAGATCGTTCATATGACTATCGTCTATAGCACAGATTTTTCCCAATAAACATAAAAGTCGATAGAATCTAAAAGAACTTGCTTTACAATTAGATTTCAACTTACCGTAAATACTGTAATAGTACCCCACACCGTACAGTCGCGTAGTCGCAAAAGTTTTTTAGTATTTCATTTTTTTTAAAGCACCCGTACTTTCAAAAAATGCGTCTTTGGTATCAAAAAATAGCTGAAATTCAAGGCTATCTTTTGATACCTAAGCGCGCATTGTAGCACCAACCAGTGTCGAGAAAAACTCGTTCAAAGCTAGATTACGCAACGCTTCGCACCGTCACTATCTTTGGCATCAAAAAATAGCTGAAATTCAGGGCTATTTTTTGATACCTAAGCGAGCATTGTAGCATAAACCAGTGACGAGAAACACTGGTTCAAAGCTAGACTACGCAACACTTCGCACCGTCATTATGGGGGTGGGGTACTATTACAGGATTTACGGTAGTTATTGCAAAAATGGACTCCTCTAAAACCTGGATACTACCATATTTCTACCATTTAGCAAAAATTTGGCAGTAGTTAGCGATGCGCCTGAGCTACATATCTCTAGAGAGCCTGCAGCACCTACCCCCACCCCGGGCCTGACTATTTTTCAAAGAGCTCGTACTTTCAAAAAATGCGTCTTTGGTATCAAAAAATAGCCCTGAATTTCAGCTATTTTTTTGATACCTAAGCGCGCATTGTAGCATAAACCAGTGTCGAGAAAAACGCGTCCAAAGCTAGACTACGCAACACTCCGCACCGTCATTATGGAGCTGCGGTACTATTACAGTATTTACGGTATCAATTTACCTAGTTTTACCAGCTTGACTTGTTTCTTGTTCCAATATTGAGAGAGCATCATTTAACGCCGATTCAACTTGTCGCTCACAAGAAAGTCTCGAGTCTAAAGTAAGCCAAATTTTTTCAGTTTAAAATCCTTTATCTAGCTTTAGCAAGAAAATCCCCTCAATCTTTCCCCTCTAAAGAGTTCATTGAATCGTACTCAAGTGTGTCTCTTTTTCACTCACTCAATCTCTTTCAGGGTCAGCTTCTGCACCTGACATCTGTCACCTTTGAGCTTATTTCTACTTGCCACTATTTCTAATGAGTCAAGAGATTTGAAAGAATGAAAGTGTTGAATTTTGATTTTTTTAGTTGGATAGTTTTTCAATCTTTGAATCTTTTATTAAAGCTGGTTTTGTTATTTCACTTACCTATCCCCTGAAAGTTCAAAACGAGAAGAGTGGGAGAGATCGGTTTTCGGCTTGGCTTTAATGGATTCGTTGTTGGCACAACGAATGGCCAAAACGTAATGGAGTCGGGAGGGGTAACAAAGTTTTGACGGAGCACAGCCAAGACCAAAAGGGGATGGGGAGATTGGCTGTTGGTGGAGGATGGGAAGGAGAAAAGAGAAAGGGGAAAGAAAGGGGGGAAAGGACAACGGATAGAGCACTCTTTAATGGAATCGAAGCCAAACATGGGTTGAACCTTCCCTCTCTTCGTGTATCAGATGTCTAACTACAATTCAATCAGACTGGAGAGCACTACCGTAATCTTACAATCACTCAATGAAAGGCTATCATTCAGTACGCATTCAGTATCAATTATAGGCTATCATTTAGGATGTTATTACTTAAAATAACTGCAAGAAAGCACAGTTTTCTTTTAACAGGATACGAAATTTATAGAAAAGTAACTAATTAACTAAGTAACTACTTAACTAAATAGCACAGTGACTTCACTGTAAATATTTAAGAACCAGCTCATTTCTGTATCTCTTATTTTCTCTTCGAAGAGCAAAGCAATTCATTCTGAGCGTCCAGATTTCAAATCGAAATTACCTCAATGATAAAATTTGAGCCTTTTAAGATCTAAATTTGCATTTTTCTTGAATTTCCTCTCAAAGATAGGCTAATCTGTTTCTCTAAAAGGCTAGAGCAATTAAATCCAAGCTAGAATCAATAAAATGAATAGCTTCAATCGATTCTCGAAACCGAAAACCCCCGGGCACAAATTTACATCTGAATATCTTTTTTGTAACATCGGAAAAGCAAAAGGGAAACATGTAAGTGACGAGGCGTTCTTTGTGTGTCCGGGTAATCATTTGGCACCTGGCATAGGACTCTGATCTAGGGGATTTCCTATTGGAATCGCTAAGGAGTAAGGAGCGGTGACTGAGCAGACTTCTCAGTCATTATGCCCAAATCATTGGGATCATTTTTTGCCTTAAAGTCGGCCACATTTTTCTGTAAATTTTGCATCCTGTTAAACCCAAAAATAGCTTGAAACACTAACCTAAAAAGTCGATTTTATTTAAATGACTTAACCATTTAGCCCATTAGCTCTTACTAGTTAAATGAGTTAACCATTTAGCCCCATGAGCGGTTTATTAAACGCAGTAAGCTTTTATGGCAAACATTTTCAATCATTCAATTCATTTTTCATTCAATTCAGATTTCTGAACAAATTTCTGGACAAATTTGCTGTCGTAATTAAACTGTTCCCCTCTGAAACAAAAACGTCAATGAAAAGCGTGGCTTTGTAAAGGGGAAATGAGGTATCCGAGGTGTGACTTCCGATGTTTCTCTCAACCAAATAGAGACAATTCACATCATTTGCACTATCAGAACCAGTACACAAAGTAGAAAAAAGAAATTTTAAAATGATTTGAAAACTAACCAGAGTACAAAGCAATCTCTCGCAAAAGATTCCATTCAGTTTTGCTTGGTTGAAGTCTCTCAATCACTTCAGTTAGAGGTAAAAGTGATGAATCAAATGAGTTTTGAGTTTCGAAGTTCGAAATGAAAATCAAGAATGGCCAGTTTGCTTGGAGTAAATTTTCCTAAAGTTAACTTTTTTTCTGTTTATTTTATTTGTTACCTTGATTCCATTATCAAAGATTTTGAAAGCTTTCTGAGCTTTTGCCCAAACAATTGCTTGCTTTAGACGTTGTTCAAAAGAGATTTTCTAAAAAGAAACTGATTTTAAAAGCTTAGAAATCTATTTTTTTTTTACTCCATTCTTTTCCTCATTTGGTTTAATTTCAGAAGTGAAAGCGTTTCCGACAAAAAATGAAGTTGAATCAGGTTGAGAAAGGACAGCTGAGACGGCGCCAGCGTATTCCCTAAAAGATTTGCATTGGACTTGCACTGCAAAGACTTATTCTCCACGAATTTCATCCTTTCTTTTATCTTTTCTTATCATAAACAATTTTTACACTCATTTCTTATAAAGTACAAAAACTTGTTACCTGAGAAAGTTGTGTGGATTGAACTCGAGCTCATTTGTCGGCCGAATAGTTGCCGTGTTTCTCGGTTGGCGCTCGTTTTGAACGGCTAAACGTCGACTATTTGATGCCTTTTAAAACACTAACCATCTTTATTCATTCCTTTTTGCAAGCATTTCTTCAAACGACAAGCTTGACATTGATTTCGATGAGTTTTATCAACGACACAGCTTCCTGTGCCAGCTTGGCATCGATAAATAAGACGACGACGAACAGAGCGTTTAAAGAATCTAAAGTAACAGTTCTTCAGTGACAGCTAAAAATAGGTTATTCTTTGAAGTGCTCAATTACCGCCATGGCCAACTGGTTAAGAGCCTTGTATCTTAGTCGGAGGTCAAGGGCCAGCTAGGTTCTATTTTTAACTCAGCTTAATCTCTAAACTTCCCTCAGAAAACCTACCCAGAGCAACCGTTGCAAGCAAGTATCCCATAATGTTTCCCACTGCTCACATCACCACAAACAGCACATGAGAGAGTTGGTGAGCAATCGGATGGAGATGGTTCTCTAACCATTGATGCTGGATAAGAAGAGACTGACACTGTGGTTCCATCGTATTCCGGTGGGCTAAAATCTTTCATTACACAATTCAGTTTTCATTTACCTATCACTGTTGAATCTTGTCTGTTGACTCATTGATAAAGCGAGAGCTGCAGCCATATTCGGATGCATGTAGGGAGCTGAAATTGCTTAGACTAGTTGTTGTTCATTTTTCACTCACAGTTTGCAAATAGGGGATTCCCAAGTAAAATCGGGTTTGCAAACAATGACCGGAAGCCGCTAATCTTATCATCATTTGGTGAAAAGCATTCTAAAATGAAAAATGAGATGAGAACAAAGAAAGAACGGACCAAGCTTTTTGGCGGAACTTGAAAAGTTCAAAGGTTCCTCGTCGTCGCTCATCTAAAATGCTCTGGGTAACAAAGTGATAATAGATTTCAAGTATTGAAGATAAGATACTAAGGCTAATATTTCAAACTACCGTATAAGGCCTGGAGGTTGAGGAAGAGGGAAGGGGAGGGGCTGTCATGATCCCTGGTGGGGCACCGCCCCCAAAGCCTTCGAGGGGCGCCCAATTGGGCCAATAGCCACCGCCTGGAGCCTTGTGTATAATGTTAAAAGAAAACAATCTCTTTTCATCTTTCATATCCTTTAGAGAGCAAGTGTTGTGGCAGAAGCCGTGATCGTCGCTTCCTGCAGAGTGAAGTGTCATCTCAAGGCATAACGGGGCTAATCAGGCTGAAGAGTGGGAAGTAACTGACTCTTGGAATAAATTGAGTTGGCTTTTGAGTTGTATAATGTATGAATCTTGGATCTATTCAATGATCAATTGAATAGATCGGTTCCAGTTTCAGTATAAAGTTCTCGTATCTCAATTTTGGATAGAATTGAATGGCAGATCGTTTTTCTTCAGCGACATTTAGATTTCAGTTCATTTATTTCAGATTTTACAAGTGTAGGATCAACTCTACGATCAAGAGAGCAACAAATATTTGTAAAAATCAAGAAATCGAATAGTTTTATGGTTTTGAAATGCGTGAATCTTTACTTTTTCAGTTTACTATCAAAGTTTACTATCAGTTTCAGCTAAACATTTGCAATTTGAGCTTGACGATTGCATTGATCGACGAGAAACATTTGCATTGATCCCCGGCTTCTTTACTTTAGATCTTGAATGCATAAACATTGGTTTTAGTACATCTACTCCTTGAAAGGACAAATGGCCAACACGGCAAATGGCAACAGTGGTATCAATGGGGGAGATTCTTCTTTGAGACGAATGATTGGTGCCAGCTGCGACCCCCTTTTTTCCTTTCTCTTCTCCCCCTCTTTTCTTGGCTTCTCTAAAGGCCAGTTATCGGCATGATGACCCCCATCCGCCTTTGACGCCACCGTAACTCGATTAGGGAATATGAGCATTCGATCCACCAACATCCGTCTCATCCCACAACCACCAATAACTATGTTCTTTTGAATATAAGAATGAGAATGAATACAGAAACATTTATGCAAAGAAATTGTTTGAAATATTTAGATTAAAAGTTCACTACCGGCTTCGAGCGTGAGCGTCACTATTTTTGGAATCAATTTTTGCCTCTTGGCTGTATTTTTAGTACAAATTCTACACCCTTCTAGCCCATTGTGTGCCGAATATTTGTCTGATTTTGATAATTTTCTTCTATTATTAGTCAGAAACTCATTGTCTTGAGAATGAAATCGCCCTGAAAATCGTCGTGCAAAAGTCTTTTCACACAAAACGAAATTAAGCTTTAATCAACATTTAGTCGCTCCTCCTTTTGCCAAAAGTACTTCTTTAATACGAGTAGGCATCGATGCAATTAATTCATCAAGAATTCCAGGTCCAATCGTCCTCCAAATTTCTCTGATGTAAAACCATAGCTCGACTTTCCGTTCTTTCTTTGTTCTCATCTCATTTTCCAAGTGTAAATTCATTTGCTTAGTTAAACAAGCCCGATAAGCTCAAAAAAGTTAATCTTATATTCCTCAATAATCCAGTGACCAACCCAACTCACTCTGAAAAAAACAGATCCTCCTCAGTGATTGATCACTCGTTGTCACAAAAAAAAACCTTTCCTTCACGGAAAGAGGAACAACTGCGAAAGCGAACACTTGGTCGTTTGTGATCTCGGTGATATTTTATATCAAAATGATAACCGATTTCTTATGGCTTTCAATACTCTCTGTCAATTTCTGTCTGTGTGCACTGCCCAGTGAGAGAGCCGATAAATTTACGGATGTCGAGGTGGAAGCTGTGGTGAATGGAATCCTTCTCGGACAATCCACGCAGCGATCTGTTGAGGTTAGCGGAGTTTTTAGAAGCTTCGTGTACTTTGAGTAAAATCTAAAAGCTCTACATTCATAAACCAGCCGAAAAACCGGTCTAAGGACGGGTTTTTCTGGACCTGTGGCGTGGCGCAGTCAGGAGCGCGCTCGTCTACAGCCCACACGAGCCGGGTTCGACCCCCATACAGACAGACATTGCTTATTTATATATAATAGATGTACAGAGTAAAGTTGATCAGTATGATATAAATAGTCCTTCGAGGTTTAGATGACAAATGAGCTGTCTGAGCCCCTTCAAATTGACTGTGGCTCTGAAGAGGACGATCTCGGTAATCTGACAATCAAGCCACATCATCGAATTGTGTGGAGTTTTCGTAATAATAAACCAATCACAACTTCAAAGAATAACCTATTTTTAGCTGTTACTGAAGAAACGTGGTACGAATGTGAGCTAACTGCAAATGGTGGCAGGCATAAAGTAAGGGATTTAAGCAATTGACGGTCAACAAGTTGCCTAGATTTTTGAGATCTTCCCAGGCCCTCGAAAAATCGGCCTCAAGAAGAAAAGACTTCAGTGGATTATCAGAGCTGATGGAATTTATGAAGGAGTAAGTTTACTTTGTAACCAAATGATTAATCAATCAATCTTCCGGTGATGCATTCTTCCAAGGACGAATTTGGCAACTGGGTTCTTCACAAACCGAAAAGGTGGCACGTCTGGAAATACTAATGTCAATTGATTCTTTTGCAAGCTATTGCCTTGATCTCAATGCAATCTCAATACTCAAATGGAATAAAGGTCTTGTTCAAGTCCATATCCTCCCTGAAATCATCTGATGCATAACAGAAATTATTGAATTCAATCATTATACAAAGTTACACTAGAACTCCAGTGGAATTTGCATAAAATGATAAAAAGATTTATAAAAAGTCTGAAAAATCACAAGCTCATCACATCAATAATAATTGGAATTTGAACATGAATTGATGAGTCGATTAGAGGTGGTTCTTTTCGCAATCAATCAGTACATCGGCTAAAATTACAAACTTTTCTCATAATGTTCGTAGCTTTTATTTTCTTGCATAACTTGAACCAACCTCTTTTTCAATGTCTTCTTTCTTATTCATTTTGACAAAGATGGCACTCCTTCTTCACACAAACAGCCTTTTTCCACTTCGGAAACATCGTACTCATAAATCATTGTTTTATTTTGAGTTTGACAAGTTTATAAAGCGGTTAAGTATGCTTAAGTATGGTTAAGTATTCGCTCGATTGAATTACTTGGGAATCGTCTCTGGATCAACAAAGGAAAGTTAAGTTAACTTCTAGTAAACTGTGAGTACTACGATGGCCACCTCGATCTTTAGAACTGGATAAGTGAAGAAAAACACTCAAGAAGTGAGGTAAGTGATCAAAAAGAAGCCTACCGGAAGCCCACAAGAAAAACCCGTCCAAGTGCTCCTCATTGACACGACTGTAGCACAAAGCGACTGTAAACGAAAAACTTTTATCGTTATTCATTGACAAATGATGAGCATCGTTGAATTTCTTAAGAAGACGCGCCACTGATTTAATATCTTCATCTTGCATCAACGCTTTACTCAATATTTCTTTCAAATAGGTCTCAATCAGCTATCGCCTGAAATCAACCCTGTTAAAAACGTTTCCTTTCAAACTAAAACCTTTAATAATCCTCTTGTATTCGGCCAAAAGTGGGTCCATTTTTGTTTTTTCGTAAACTAAATGAATGTTGACAAAAGGTGAACATTTAGAGTTGAAAGCAAAAATTGGAAAGGAAGGAAGGACATTTTTTGCTTAGAAAAATACTCTAATGAAGACTGTCCAAGGAATTCAAGAGTAAACCCATTATTTACTTGAATGCATTGCAATAATGTAACTGCAGCCTTTCAAATTTTGATCTAAACGTTATCTTTTTCTGCTAACCTGTAGTTATTTTAGAAGCTTTATGTACAAATTTATTCACAAAACATTTTAAAAGCTTGATATAAATTACCTGCCAAAAAATGATAAATGACGGAAAACCCCGATTGAGCAAACAAAAAATGGATACATCGAGTTTCCGGCTAAGACACAATGAATGGAAAGTGACAAATGTACACGAGATGACCAAATTTAACTATTTAAGCTTTTAGCTAACTTAGAATCCGAAGCTAGAAAACTCAATTCATAACAGATAACAAAGAAACCCAAAAAAAGTAATTGATCTTAATCAGTAATAACCATTTTAGCTATACACAACAAAAAATTTAACTTAACAAAAATAACAATTAATCTATTCAGCACACATTTCCGCGTATTCATAGTACTTGCTGGCTAGTTTTCCCTTCATATTTTCTGCAGCAGACTCTGCGGCTTCTGTGTAGAGCTCATAGGCACGAGAAAGGTCTTGTTCAAGTCCATATCCTCCCTGAAATCATCTGATGCATAACAGAAATCATATCTATACTTTATAAATGTCTAATAGTCTCAAATTTCATTAGTTAATTAGCATATAATCAATATTTCATAAGTTAAAGAACTTTATTTGTTCTGAAATCTCACTCAACTAACCTCTTGATAAAGCCGAGCCATTGTCGCAAGTGATTCGTGTCTTGGTCGATGTTGCTCGGTCCCCTCTTCATCATCAGCAAAGCCCATTCCCTTTTCAAGCCAGAAGATCGATAACGGGTAGGAAATCTAAATGGGTTCAATATTTGTTTCAATAATTCTTCACGTACAGTTGCATCACGCCCCATTTTATGCCCAGTCTCGTAGCATTGTGCAACGAACAGAATCGCTCCTCGATCACCCATTTCCGCGGCACTCAACATCAATTCAAACGCGAATTTTTCTGGGTCGGTGTCAAGTTCTTCTTCCTGAATAAAACATAGATCAACCTAGGCCTTGACTTTTCCACTAACTAGCTTATTTCGAATCGATTGTCAATTCATACTCACCGTATCTGCAAACCAATAAATATCATCTCCAATGTCTTTGAGTAGATCGTGAGGCAAATGATAGCACATCTTTGCAATTGTCAAGATAGCCTGAAAATCATTTAGTTTTATTTGTTATTAATTTTTTTGTGTACAAACCTCTGAGTTTCCACATCGTCTTGCAACATCCAAATGAAATAAAGCAGCTTCTCGGTCATACCTGACATGTCCTCCTTGACCACTGTCATCTGAAGACACTGAAGACCCCGATTTGGTCAACTCTTCGAAGACCTGAATTGTTATTGAATCATTTTTTAAACTTTAAGTCAACAACCTTTTTCTTTTCTTGATTAGCATCCTCTTCCCTTATAAAGCGTCCATTTTCGTGATATCTTGCCAAATCGAGATGAATCTGTCCCAGAATAGAGATATGACGCAATTCGGCAGCTTCCTACAATATTACTGTTTAATTGTCGGTAATATTATCAGAAAACCTGTTTTTTCATGTGCAAAATGTCAACCACTCCAGCCGGCATCGATTTCTTTCGCTGCATCATCCAGAACTCCTCTCGTTCGGTTTTCGCGGTCAATCGTGAACTTCCACCATAGCTGCTGCACATACTGTCATTGGTTCGCCGGCGATGAACTCGATCGGCTGACTCGACAGATAAAGTGGCTCTTCCAACCTGAAGAGGTTTATCAATGCTGGTTGCAATAGATTTTTGTACTTTTCTTCCGACAGCTTGCGATTCGTATCCAGATGATCCACAATCCTCTTCTTCCTCATCACTTTCATCATCCATCGTTGCTGCATCAGCGCAAATTGCTTGAATGCAAGTCTCACAAGTGCAGTCTTCATCGTGTTCCTGAAAAAAGATTGTGTTGATATCAGATTCTCTAAGAGGAAAACCTGAATAGATTATCTATTGTTTAAGCTAGAAATTATGACAGACAATGTGTCCTGGTAACCAAATTTTACTTGTGATTTTGCTGACGGAGAAGTGCTCGAAGCTATGCTTGAAGCTCTCGATCGAGAACGTTGTCGAAGAGTGTCACTTCTTTGTCTCAAACACTCCATCGCATCATCAGGAGTTAGATCATCCAACTAAAAACGAACTAAAGGTAAAAGCCAGATACATCACTAACCAAAGGTTGACAGATATTGAGATCCTTTTCGCGTTTGCGCACGAAATGTGTTGGCTCCTGAAAATTATTTGATAAACCTGAAAACATATGAGCTAACCATGTTCGGGGTCGCTTTGGAAGATTCGTCTGCAATCTGGTTCTTTTCACTTTGGGATAGATCGAACTCGGTGAGACAAAGCATATGGCAAATATCATTGCAAATGTGTGAGTGGAAGAAAAGAGCCATTCCCCTTGTGCCCAAGTTTCCATCACCATATTCGGTCCCATTGACAGTGTGAATTTGAGGATCCGTGTAAAGATCACCGACACCCTAAATGAAAGTTAAAGTTGGCTTGCATAGATACATCTTTAGGTATTTTTATTTATTATAAACATACTTGCACATCGACCACAATCATCTGATGCCCAGAACGCTCAAAAGTAAAATGAGAGAACGCTTGCGGAGTTTTTCTTTGCAAATCGGAGACAAAGCCCGAATTTGAGTTGTACTTCACATAGTCACCTTCAATGTAGTGCTCCAGATGATATAACGGTTCTCCAGGAAGATCAAGAATCTAAAATTTCATTGTCAATTGCCAGGTAATCCTTTTAACCTGTAGAACATTCATCTGTACAATGTCAATCTTCTTTGGCGGATTGTTTCTGTTGAATTCCTCCGACCACAGCTTACAATCCAATTGCAGCTTCACGTCGTCGAAGATGACCTAAATATCGACTCTAATTGGATTACTTAACTTACTGTAATTAATGTAATAGAAGAGCATCTATTTTTCAACCCCAAAAAAATAGATAAGGGTCTCCCACATCAATCAAAAATTTTAAAACTGTTAAAAACCATATGAAACGATAGTTCTTGGTCTAAAACATATAGAAAACACGTTTAAAAGTGAAAATATTTTTTACTTGAACCTCTTTTAGACTCTTTGAAAAAATCCCTGTGGTCCCTCACAAAAATTTTTCCTCCAATAATTATTTTTCAATTTTTTTAAAATCACAATTCTAATTTTACTGCCGATAACATATTATTCCATCTTGGACCCAAATTGACCAATTCACGCAAAAAAGAGATCGAAAATCAATTTTTCGAGGGGTCACGGGGGTGCCCGTCTATTGGCGAATGCCCTTCTATTAGAATAATTACGATAATTTAACTACCTGTCGATCAACTTCTTGAATATAACGTTTTGCCACATAGTTGTGAGCGTTTTCCCAGCCTTGATTGTATCCCATACTGGAGAGCTTCTTGACTCGGAAACATTCTCTCATGGCACCTCTCGCAAATGGTTCATGGCACATTTTGATCTAAAGGTTTTAAGTGATATTTCGTGTTCAATTTAATGATTTGAATACAAAAATTGAAAATACAAATATTTTATGTTTAGTTGCCAAATCTAACAGCCAATGCGTTTTATTCTTACTTCCACGAAATCCTCAAGCCATGTTTTTCGAGTAGCCGAATAACGAAAACGCCGAGCACGAAGAATTGGCATCTCGTGGATGTTGTACTTTCGCCAAGGATCAACACAACGACGAACAGCTCGAGCGGCTGCCGAACGCCAACGATCAAGAATCTAAATCTTGGATAGATTATACGTTATCTTATATGATCTAAAATATTTAGATTATCATGAAAAGGAAATTTTATTGATCCGACCAGTTTACGACGAGCATTTTCCGCATGCTGAACGTTGAAACTGATCTCATGAAGTGGTGCCAAACATTTCCATTCCGCGTCAAAGCTGACATCCTTTGGATTGAAATTATTCTCCTGAAAGTCTTTAATAATTGTTAAAAAATATAGCTGCTTATTAGAAAAGATAGTTTTTAAAATCTCAACGTTTAATTTCAATTTGTTTTTCCAACCTCTGACTCCTCGGCTTCTTCAGTCGAGCTTTCTGTTGTGATTCCTCGTGCCATTTTAACCCTTTAAATTATAAAATAAACTCAAATGTTTAAAGTTCCAGAGAAAAATCTAAAGCAGCGCAGAAAAGAAAAAAACAAAGGGTCAAGGAAAAAAAACCAAAGAGATCGAAAATACTTCCTCAAGAAAACTTTCAGAGGAAAAGAGAGTCGTGCTAGCAGACAGAATTTTTTGTCGGGGCAAAAGAGCACGTGCAAAAGAGAGGAAAAGATAAGGAAAAAGATGGAGAGGAAAAGAAAAGCATTTCCCCTTTTCACCCCCTTCAACCAGGCAGGTCATTTCCCCGCGATGAATCGCATCCATCCTCACAAAGACCCAAAAATAATCGTTTCGTTGTGTCAAGCGGGAAAAAAATGAGCCAATGGATAAATCAATAGTTTCCTATTGGCTTACTTACTACACATTAAGGAAAAAATTTTGTTTCAATTTTTTAACAATCGCTGATAAGCCGACGAGAGATCACATGGGCTTTTTCAGAGTTTTTGCTTTGTTCAAGAAGATCTCAGGAGGAAATGTTTTTAAAAATTGGAAATTCTAGCCTTTTAGGAATTTACTAATAACTTGTATTTTCTAAGTGTGTAGAACAAGTAGAGTAACTGCATAAAAACAAAAACGGGAGAATTCAAAAAATAAAATTCTGAAATACTGAACACATTTCTTTTTGCATAATCACACATGACATTATACCCTTGCTCGTCTACTTAGCTCCTTTGATGCTTATTTGGATCGATCACCCAAACTGCCATTAATCCAACTTCTGCTGAGAAGAGAGAAAGTAGTATTTGAAGCCGATTAATGAAGAATAAAGCACATGATTCTCAAGAAGTTCCAGTAGAAAGAAGTTCTCGTATGTTGTTTGGGAGCAAGTTCCATAACATAGCGACTCTAATGGGAAATCGGTTTGCTAAAGAAGCATTAGACGCAAAGGGAATCTGCAAAAGGAATAAACCACTTCTGGACATTGATCTCGGGTTAAATCTGAAAAGGTCAACAAACAAAGGGCTAATCTATTTGAAGCGCAGGATTTTGAACGTTTCGACTAGATCAGTGACAAAGCGACGATGTTGCAAAGTTTTTAGTTCAAAAAGAGCAAGTCCATCCTCATAAATCAAGCTAAAATATTTAGAATAGAACCATAGTAGTGGACCTCCTCCGAACTTTCCAAACGTCAATGGAGACGGAGGGAGATCACACAATAGAGGCATATTCTAAGATGGGTCACGCAGAAGCATTTACGCTAAGAGTTTAGGTTGAAATGAACGATCGATCTAACGACTGGAAACAAAGGAAGCCTTTCGACAGATTATTTCAATATGTTTAGTGAAATTAAAAGCGGGAGAGTGTGAACACCTAAATCTCTAAAAAAAAATCATATTTAGTAATGTAATTGATAGGAATATTGTTAATTTTCAAAGGAAATCTGAAGTTCCCAGTGGAAAAGTGTTGAGATTTTAAAGGGGATAGGGAAAGCTTCCACATTTTGGACCATATATTGATAAGTTCTAAATCGTGATTTGCATCACTTACTGCCGCAAGCGAAACTACTTGAGTTCTGATGGAATTTTGAACGTAAGCTTAACATCATCCGCATAGAGCCAGATTGAGGAAGCTTTTGATTTGAAAGGACACCTAGACAGGCCATTAATATAGATAGTTAATAAAAGAGGGCTAAGAATACTAAGAATACTTCCCTAAGAAACCTCGTTAGGACACTCGAAAGAGGGGGGGGAACATTATTTAGAATTACTTTTAAGGCTCTCTGAGAAAGAAAATTTTCGATGACTGAAATTACGAGTGGGCTGAGCTGGTAAGCATACAGTTTGTGAATGAGAAAATCAATGGGAACAGAATGAAAAGCTTTGGCAAAATCTAAGACGGCTCCTAATTGGAAGCTGAATTTTTCTTTTTGATCTAAAGCTTTGAGAAAAGATTGATAGGCTAGTGGTGGATTTATTTTTAAGAAAGGCAAACTGTTGGTCAGAGAAAAGGTTGTATTTGTGTAAAAAGACTTCCCCTTTTTAGATTTAATAGCATTTCTTTCAATATTTTCCGCAAATTTACGGCAATATTTGGAGAGGTTATTCAGTTCCTTACTAACTAGAGGATCGTTTAAGGGTTTTGAATATTAGGAACGACAGAAAAAATGGGCTAGTCTACTTTTAGCTCACAAGATTTGCGGCGGGCTCATTAAAGGAGAATAACCACACGCTAATTCTATCGTTTTTAGAAGATTAGCGCAAAAGATGTCATAAACTTTGTCAATATAATTTGAGGACGCACAAAAGTCTAATCGATTTAGAGAATTTAGTATCCATACCGCCGCTTTGTCTTAATCAAAATCAAAATGCAAACAGACTTCTACCTTTCCTTCGGAGTAAAATCGGTTGAACCAATTTTGAAGCTGATTGAGAGGTGGTCAGAGCCCGGGAGAAGCGCCAAACTTTGCGGATCGATTATGTCGTCCGGACAGTCACAAATCACCATATCTAAAATAGAAGAAGATTGGCAGAAAGTAGGAAATGTATTTAAAATGATAAAAGAGCTCGCAATAGGAAACTTTCAGGTGAAATAGTGGGGTGATGATACTTATCGAATGCAAAAGGATGATTGAAAAAGCTTACACGAAAATTAAAATAACCTAGTAGAATGTTTAACTCAGCAAAATTTAAAAACGTCGATAGATGGTCAAAAAGAGAAGATATGTCTGATAAATTTACATCAGGAGGGCGATAAATAATGAAAAAGCGGGTCTTTTTGGCAAGAAAAACATCCACTATAATAATTTCAAAGTTAAACTTAGATACCGAGCAAATCAGCGAGCGTTTAAAAGATTTTAGAAGCAAGAAAATTGCGCCACCGCCATGAGATTTCTAGAGTCAGATCTGTTACAACACAAACTAGAATAATTATTTCCTGGATCTAGAATGGAGAAACGGACCTTTACGGTTAACGGCGGGGATAACGACTATCGGCGGAGGCCAAGTTTTTGACCAACTTGCGGCCCGATTTTATAAGTTTATGTTAATACCTTTTAATAAAACAAATAGTTTCTGAAAGCTGACGTTCTAAGCTATTTAAATCTTATTAAAAATTTCTGATATGACAAGTTTAAGGTGCTTAAAAATGTGCTACAATTTGGCCAAAAAATTGACCCCCGCCGTTAACCGTAAAGATCCGAGGAAACAAAAGATTCATTCAGCCACGCCTCTGTAATAGCAAGAAAGGGATAGGTTTTTGAGCGAGTCATAGTTTGAAAGAAATTAAGTCGATTATTGCTATTAGAGGCAAGACTGCGCATTCGTGAGAAAAACACTAGGTAAGCGCTAGTGAGACAAATGCGACATTTTTTTTTGCGCACCCGGCCCATTAGCGCACCTTTTTTCGCGTTTTAAAAAAAGCTCTAAAAAGCTAATACTAACGAATTTCCATTGCAAAAGTTGTTTTTCTGGGTAACTTTAGGGAGTAAAATTCAAAATTTGACATATCAGAGCTTGTGGAAGCAAACGGACGAAGTTATACATAGGGAAAAATCGACAGTTTTCTGGAATTTGACCTACCCGTTTTATCTTTCAAATTGGTCCAAATTCCAAACTAATGGGCCGGTACGCAAAAAAACGTGCGCAAATGTCCCGGGTGCGCAAAAAAAGGTAGCATTTGTCCCACTCCCAGGTAAGCACATGATTCGGAAGAAGTTATAGTAAAGAGAATGCATTTTTGAATTTAGATTTTTTCAATAACACGTCTTTTCAATAGGCAAAAGTTGTGGGTCTGATTGGTTATTCGGATCAGAAAAAGTGTAAGGCTTGTACTCAACTTGTAAGGCTAAATTTGTGGCTTTACCAAATGTTTTAAATTGTTCTACCAATGAAAATTTTTAGCACCCAAAGATTCCGCCAATTGGAAGGAACAAAATGCCAAATACGTCTCTAAAAGCAAACTTGATAAAGCAAGACCCATTCGATCCACCAACTCTACGTGAGAAGACCGGAGCAAGAGAAGGGAATCACTTATGACCTCTTGCGGGAGCCGGAACGGGTGCTGGAGTTGGCTTTGTTACTGGTGGGTTCAAGATACATACCTATAACCGATACGAACGATAAACGATACGTTTTCATAACCTTAAATTTGTTATTTTGTTCATGAAAAGTTTATGAGTCTCTTAAAGCTTTTCAACTGACAATTTTTTTAAACTTTTGACGCAAAGCACATGAACAATCCATTCTAGGTGGACCACCGAGAGCCGCAATCGGAGCAAGCTAAAATCAAGTTTAAGTAATTTTAAACCAGTTGTGGAATCTGGTAACAATTAACTTTTGTAAACAGGGATATCAATTACAGCTATCCCTGCAATTAAAATGAATCACAGGTTAAAAATAATTGTCTTCATCTTAATGGCAGGACAATAGTGTGAAGATATTGAATGGCAAAAACCAAATTCTTGTTCAAAAATTTGAACACTCATAGATAATCATTTGATTATGATTTAACAAAGTGAACTCTTGGATCCAACTATGAAAATATATCGTAAAAACTATGTGGGTTGCTAGATGGCGCATAGAAATTGTTGCTTAATTTGTTTTTGCAGTGTCATTTTTATATCCGTGTGCGAATGATTTATCAACATGTGAACGCTGTTTTTCTTTCGGAAGATTGTTTATGGCGTGCACGAGACTGTAGCCGTATTTGACATTGTTCCATACCTGAAATGTCCAAATTTCATTCAACATATCAAAAATTTTGATTATCAACTACAAATTTTCATTGAAAGCCTACCATCTAGCCCCAGGAGCTCCCTGGTTGACACAGGTGTTCGGATTTGAGAGCGGCGAAAGGGTCGTAACACCCGATTTTGCTCTAAAAGTGTTTGAGAACTTAAGACGAGGACGCAATACTTGTAAGTGCTACATCCAGAGAATGTTGCAACTTTACAGCCTTGAGCATTGAATGAGATGACGAAAGTGACACCCGCTGCCACCGTTGGAGATGGGCACATTGCGCAAACTGAAAAGAGCCAATTTTAATGGATAAATTTGATAACCTGGAGTTGGTGTTGTAGTTGTGGTGGTAGTAGTTGTCGTTGTTGTCGTTGTAGTTGTCGTTGTCGTTGTCGTTGTCGAAGTGGTTGTACCTAGCCCACCAACATATCCAATTTTGGCAAGTCTACTCACAGTTCGCATTTGGATCACTTGACGTCGTTGTATCCGTCCAAAGAGTTATTGGAGTCGGCAAACATTCGTATTTTTTCTAAAATGTGCACATGCAAGAATTCGTGAACTGGGAATTACTGTTGCGGCATTGACTTGCTTTTTGATACCATCAACATCATCACAACAGGTGAGTGTCGGGAAAACACAAACCCCCGTGCTGCAACGCTTCCATCGGTACGGTGATCCACTGAAATTTTAAGGGTAAATCAAGATTTGAAAAAAACCTGCATGGACAACCGCGAATTGCCGAGACACAAAGTCGCTGTTGAAGTTGAACTTGGCAAGCTCCACACGAGGTAGTCATCGGATCATAAAGGGTTGAGGTCGTATTTTGTTGATAGTTGGCAATGGTTGGGCAAGTCGATGTTGAAATGGATTGCCAATCGCTCCAAGCTCCACCAGTTGGGCATGCGCATGAGGGTGATACTACTAAAGAAAAAAAAGTCAGTGATCGTCTGGATAAGATAAAATTCTCTAGATAAAATCTGAATTCTTACCACAGCTTGTGTCATTTGCATATGGATCCACCACCGTTGGATCTGCGGTTGTGGCTGCTGTTTGAACACAATCCGATCCAGATTGACTAAAGTTTTCATTCCTCTTTGCCATTTAATTGAGCCACCTGTAGCCCGGTGCACAAGTGATCCCCGAAGAAATTTGCGACATTGAGCAAACTGCCGAGTCTCCACAAGCGACTTGCCGAACAGCTTCACCGCTAAACATGGTATTGTGTGGAAGTTAAAGGACTCCTTACGTGCAAGGGCATCCCATCGGAGCCGACAAGCAATCTCTGACTTGAACTTGACGTCCAAACATTCCACACGTAAAATCTAGCTTTGTTCGGGCATAGTTAGCTTGTCCGGTTGTTGCTGTTTGAAGCCAGGCGTATGCGGGCACACAACCATCGAGATTGCTCCATGCGGACCAATAACCTAAGAAATTTCTTTAATCTTGTCTTTCCAAAAGAGTATATTAATGTATATTAAAGTATATTAAAGAATACCTCCAGTTTGACATGTCACGTTGCACTGGCCAGTTGCGAGATGGACTCCGAAGCTTACAAAAATGAGAAGCGAATACATGAGTTCACTCGAATGCAAATTTTCGCTTCCCCGCTCCGCTTATATTGCTTAATTCAATTGAAATCTGAAAAAAACATTTGGAAGCACAATACTGTGGCCAGATTAAAAAATTTCTATTCAATTTTTATTCAATTTCTATTATTCAATGACCTCTCATCTCGACGTAGAGCCCGTTTATTAAAAACGCACGCGCAATTCCATGGTCAAACGAAATACGGCTGACTTCCTGACACAAAAACACCCACGCGGCGGACCTGCACCCAAATTGAGTTAAATGTTTACACGTATTGAAGTGATCCCTGATCTTTGTGTTAAAGTATCTTGCCTGTCTATCTTGCTAATCTATCTTGCTCTGAGAGTACCTGGACTAACAATGAGTGAATTATACCTCGGGAAACGACACACTTCTTGGCACTCTTGAGAACGAAATATAGCTTACCGTGCGAATATTGATTTTCGATTTGAATGCTGTAACGATGAATTCTCAACTTGAGCAATAAGGGTCAAAGAGTGATGCCTTTGTTGTCAATACATGTGTGCCGGTTCACTTGAACAGGAAATGAAATTTATGAACAAATTGTGCACCGGGAATTTCCAGATTCGTAAATAGCTTTTATGGTCTTGTTGAATGCTTTTTTTTGCGGATATTTAGCGGATATTCAACAATAAGATTTACATAAACTGAAGATAAAAGTTTCTCAACTCTTTGACTCTCCACTTTCCATAACGGGAAGACAATCGAAATCCACGGAAGTGCCAAGTGTTTTTCAGCTAGTTTCCCTAAACAAACACTTTTTCTATGCCCTAGATTGGTTTGAATTGCTAAAAGAAAGCTTGCTCAAATAATAGAACCAGTTGAATGGACAGTGAATGGACGAATGAAACAACATTCCTTTTCATTCTTCCGATTTCACTATTACAGGCTTTATTATGTGTTAAACTAATCATTTTCATTAAAATTTTAAGCACTAAGCTTGAAAAGTGTTTTTGTTATTGTTAGTTGTGACCATTTACCATTGTTATCTTAATTTTAATCTCTGATCAGCTGGTCTGGTCAGTGCTAACTACATTATACGCAAGAACTTTTCATCTTTCATAATATTTGCTACTTTTTGCTGAAGTGTTAGCACCGTTGTTGAGTCGGAGAGTGTGATTGTTTGCTAAACATGGACAATTCAGAGGGGAGAACAACGGGAGAAAACCGCCGCAACCATTCGAATCGAACATTTTAAAAAAAAGAGTTGAATCTTACCATTCTTTTCTGCGGAAAAATAAGGTTACAATATTTGACTTTTGCAAGGAAAACTTTTGAATGCCGATTCTCTTAACGAATTTCTTACTACTGTTTATTTCCTTAAAAGTAGCAGGTAAGGAAATTTGGCTTAAAGCTTTTCAAAAAAAAATTCTCAAGATTCTTGTACTCCATTCAATTCGGGTACTGCTGATCTATCGGGAGTGAATGTGGGTGGAACTCAAGCACCCCCAGCTTTACCATTCCTTGGAATTGCCGGTCTTGAGTCAAATCGAGCTCTAGGCGTCGATAATAAGCCAGCATTGCCAATTGCTACTGGTTAGTTTCAATTCTAATATTGGTTTGGCCGGAAAGTAAGTTCTAATATTGGTTTGGCCGGAAAGTCTTGTCCGACTTTTAAAAATTTTCGTTTATAAGTGAATAATTAATCGATCAAGGTGTGGTTTGCTTTAAATAAAAAAGATTAATTAATTTAGCTCATTTTTAGGCAAATTTGAGTTCGCTTTGAAGCAACTCCGAACAAGAATTCTTGTTTCTCTTAAAATCCTTACAATTGACATAGAATGAAAAGGACTTGGCGAAATGTTATGAAAATTTGTCTATCTGTTTAACTTTTCATTCTCTATCTTTTGTCTTTTGATACCAATATAGGTTTTTGTGAAAAAAGAGGCTCAAATCGAAACTTTAAGTTTCATTGTTTTTAACTTCTCGACTTCACACTTTTTAAAAAATTAACTAACGCGAGCTTTTCAAAATTTCTTAAAGAGCAATTTGTAAATAAATCATAGGAGTTTCTGATAAAATAAATCATAAATTGATTGGTTCATTATTTATTTCAAAAAGTAACCTTTAAAAAAGCGGAAAAGACTTTCTGACCAGCCTGATAAGACTTATAAGTTCTCAGGAAATCAAAATTCAATTGTTTCCGCGAGTCAATTATTCTGCTATGATTTTGATGAGAAATGTCGATGGAAAAATATGGATGGGATCTTGGTGGATGAGCTGGATTGGTGAGTGAATTGATGAGGAAGGGGCATTCAAAAACTTTAGGTTCCAAGGAATTGGCTATTTAGATGAAAATCGAATCCAAGTTGCAACTGGCACAAGAATTACTCCTGGTTTGTTCAGAAAAAATCAAATCAATCAAAAAAGCTATGAATTTCAAGAGGGCTATTATGCAATTGCTGCCTCGGAACGTGTTTTGGGGATGACTGGGAAAGCGATTCTTGTCAGTGATGTGATTCAATGTCAAAGAGGGATGGCTGATCTAAAGTTTTCGTTGGTTTAACCTTAAAAGGCTAAAAGCAATGTAATTTCAGATATTGGACTTCTCCAAAAGTTCAACTCCGTGTCTGCACAAAGAAAATCAATCGTCTTCTGCCCGATTACGAGCAATGCAGTGGACCGATTGAAGACGGAGACCCTGGACCGGCTTTGATTCCGATACCTGATCAAGGACAAGATTCTTTTCAAGTAATCATTGAGTAAAGCTATCCGAATTTCCTTTAGATTTATATTATTGCTGAAAATTTCGTCTGGCAAGCAATCGGTATGCAAGGAGGCTTTGCGGTGATTGATAGCATTGAATATCGAGGGCAAATGTGTGGAGAAGATTATGTAAGAATTGATGTTAAGCTTAAAGAAGATTTTAAACTAAATATGAGAACTTGATTGAGCTGATAATCATACCGAACTTCAGTCCCACGAAGAGCCTCAAGGCTTTACAAGTGAAGAGATCTTCGAAGAAACTCCCCCACCTTTACCACCAGTACCCAACTTCAGCGCTGAAAGGTTAGATTTCATGCTTTTTTTGTAAATTTTCATCTTCAGATTCCCAACACTGGTTGAAAATCAGAAAAGAGATAACGAAGTGAAAGAGTATCCATATGAACTTCCAAAGAAGATCAAGATTCACAAGCTAGAATTTGGTCCAGAAGACATTGAGGCTTTGGTAAGTGGGTTTCAGTTGTTAAATTGGCTGAATTTTAGGCTAGACATTTCCGAGATGAGCCTAGATACACATTGGAGTCAACAGATTCCGCTAACATAAAAGAATCAAGCAAAGATTTTCCCCAAAAAGATGAAGTGACCAATTCCGATGAAGAGTTAAAGCGATTGCATGTTAAAGCGGCTAAAATTGATGCAAATGATATGGATATGATTGGTTTGTTAATGAAATTATTTTAGAGAAAAAACTTAAGGCAACAACACAACGATTGATGAGAGTGAGGTGAAAGCAGTTGAGATTCCGGATGCATGCGAGATTTTGAGTTGTCCATACAATAAAGGAGCTTGCATTGAGTAAAGGTTATGCTAAGGAAAAAGGAAAAGGAAATTTAGATACACAAAACAAGGCGGATGGTTGGTTTCCGACTCTCCAGTGGGAAATCCATTGACTGGGATCCGCGGTGATGCAACAGTGTTGCCATACAATAAAGGTCAGACAGATTGGCAAAGATAGGAAATTACTTTAGGAAGTGTTCTAGTCAATTTACATTTGCAATCATTCATTCGTTTGCATATTCATTTGGTTATCGAACATTTGAACGCTTTTCCTTTTAGCAATCTAACTTTGAGCTCAAATATCTTGGTGTTGAGCTATTCAAATGAAAGATTCTTAAATCATTAGATACTCCAAGTCTTTCTCTATCGATTGGTACAAAAACTATTTAAATTAGACAAGAAATTTGAGTTCAAAGTTGGATTGCCAATGGCAAAGGGGGCGGGGCGCGTATAAAAAGTCCGTCGTCCCGCGCCTTTTACCATTGGCAAACTTTGAGCTCAAATATCTTGGTGTTGAGCTGTTTAATTTAAACATTCTTGATATCATTAGATTTGCCAATTCTTTCTCTATCGATTCGTATAAAAACTATTTAAATTAAACAGCAGAATCAGAAGAAATTCGAGCTTAAATTTGGATTGCTGATGGGAAAAGGGGTGGGGCGACGGACCTTTTATACGCGCCCCGTCCATTTCCCATTATCAATCTAACTTTGAGCTCAAATATCTTGGTGTTAGGATGTTCAATTTAAATATTCTTGATATCATTACATGCGCCAAATCTTTCTCCGTCGATTGGTATAAAAACTATTTAAATTGAACAACCCAACAAGAAGATATTTGAGCTCAAAGTTGGATTGCCAATGGCAAAGAAGCGGGGCGCGTATTAAATTTCCCACAATCTCACAAGGGAAGGTCGAGTGACTGAGCCGATCAAATGGCAGACAACCTGTACCATTTAACGCAGAATTTCACGCTGATTCTGAATCTGCTTCCCGTTTTTACGCTATTCTGGACGTTATTACGTGAACGTTATTCTGGCAGAAGTTATAAGCGTTTAAAGTTTTGTTAGGGTTCTGAAAATATCGGTTTTTGGGTCTTAGGCACCTTCTGCTGGACTTTTGGTAGGCCGTGGTCGAGCGGTAGAGCGTCTGTGTTTGAGGTCAAAGATCTCTGATTCGAGTCCCCCTATCGGAATTTTTTGCTTTTGTTGCTTGTTTTCAAGCTATGATAACTTGCGTTCTTTGTAGACATAGACCAGCTTTCAAGATCACATTTTAGATGGTTCATTCGCATATCTGGAAGGTCCAAAGAATTTCGCCCGTTTGGTGACTCCAGCATTCGATTTGGCTCACGATGTCTATTTCGTTTTCGCTTATCACAAAGTCGACAAAAATGCCCGATTTCGAGTCTATGCAAAAAGAGCTGATCAACATCATGAAATAATACTTTTTGAGGAAAGGATCGAATTGGTGAATTGAGAACTGAAACAATTTAGGCTCCAACGATAACGAAAGAATCAAGAAGATGGTTCAGAGAAGGGAAAGTGTTACAAAGAGCTTTATATCAATATGTGGGTTCTTTGAAACAAGAAATTAGATTTCTAATTGAATATATCCAGATTGCTTTTGAAGTTCGGAATCTTACTTCAAATAATTACATTGGAATTGACGAGTTGATGATTTTGGACTCAAAGAGGCAACCATTTTGTGCACAATCCGAATTGAATTAATAATTATTCTCGTGATTTGTGATTTTTCAATTTAAAATTGTTTTCTGTACGTTTATATCCATATTTCTCACTATCATTGCTAATTTTTTGAGATCTCGTGATGACCATAATGATAAAGATTAACTCAAAGTCACAAATTAAGTTGATCGAAAAAATTGTTTTTTTATGAGAAATGAAAGATTCTGTGTCTCTCAGCAAATCCTTTTAAATGTACAATGAATACCCAAAGTCAATAGAAGATCTTAAAATAATATTTATTTATAGATTCATACTCAAAAGCTTACTGTGTTCAGCTTAGAATGAAGCGTTCAGAAATCTCCTTTATATTAGGTTGTTCGGATATAAACGAGCGTTTGCACTGCTTAACTCGTGAGGAAGTCATTTCCCGCATCTGATCGCCTTTCCAATGGCGTTTCCAATGCATGTCCAAGAGCATGACCTTTTTCCCATGAATGTCCGGTTTCACGGTCGAATTTGGCCGTTCTCCTGGTCCTAGCCATTGCCGTTTCCGAATAGTATTATCGAAATGGATCCACTTCTCATCTTCAGTAACGAGAGAATCAAAAAAGCCATGATATTTAGCGTGGCAGATGAGGATTCCGGCAATAGCCACCCGTGAAGCCTTGTTTGCACTGCTTAACTCGTGAGGAAGTCATTTCCTCGTCTTTCCAGTGGCGTGAAGATACTCATCAATAGTAGAATTTGAACATAGAAATTGTTGAGCAAGTTCACGCCTCGTTTGACATGGATCTGATTCGATTTTTTGAGGATCGGTTCGATCCTCAAAATATCGTTGTCTACCGCTTGAGGTCGACGTGAGTGTTCATCATCCTCGAGACTTTCAGCACCGTTCCGAAAGTGTTGGAACCAGGCTCGACATCGGCTTTCGAACAATACATCATTCCCAAATGCTTTGACCAAATCTCGATGGGATTCCGCGACTGTTTTGCCCAATTTGAAGTCGTAAAGTAGGCAGAACTTGATATATTTGAAGTCGGTCATCTAAAGCAAGAAAAAAGATCTTAAAAATAAGAAATTATCCATTTAAAAAGATTCCAAATCTACACAAGATAACGTACTTTTAAATACAGAAAGACATGCTTTAAAAGCTTCCCTCACAACAATAAGTTTAGTAACGCTTGTTTATATCCGAACAACCTAATAGAATTTACAGGTTTATTCATCAGAGATCCCCAACTAAACTTTTCCCCGTCTCTTTCAACTTCTAATCAAAATCACTTCTAAAATCATCATTGTAACATTCTTGCAAAGATATTAAAGAAAATTTTAAGATTTAGCCTTAAAACTCTGCTCTTTGCAATCTCCTTTCAATAAAAAAATCTTTCTTTTTTTCTAAAGCATTCAAATTTTTAGCCTTTCATGATTCATTAAGAGAAAAAGAAACATTTGGCACAAGAAATTTGTAAAAAATCCTTTTCACAAATTGTGAATGCTCTCAAAAATTGTATAAATTCTTCAAAGTGATCAACAATCGTTATTTGATTGAATTTCTTTCTAGAGATTCAAATAATTGGAAATGCCTGGATATGAGGTCAGTTTCTAGTAATAGACTATGTTTTAAGTGTTCTAAATTTGAAACATTGACTTACTTTTTCAACTTTAGTCTAATCGCGACAAAGGGAATGATTCTAACTGGACGTCGGGCTCCAATCATCATTATGCAGTTAGTGGTTTGAAACTTTGAAAAGAATATTTTGGCTTGAGTTTCAATGATAAATATGGATCCTAGTTCTCTAAAATAAAGATGATTTTGACTGAAATAATTGATTTGAACTTGAACTTGAAATCCTTATTTAACTGTGTACTTCTTAAATAATCCGCTTTCTAAAATGGATTAACTTTCTTAAAACTACCGTAATATTGTCTATAGTTTTAACCAAATCTATAGGTCTGATCTGATTCTTTGCGGGTCCACAAAGATATGAAAAGTAGACTGGTTAGGTAAAAGCTAAGCTAGATTACGATAGTTTTTGAAAATTGACGGCTTTTAGAAAGACAATATTTGAGAAATGCATACCGTTATTCTCTAATAGTAGTGCACCCCGGTGAGCCGAATTGATGACTATTTTACGCTTTCCAAGCTTTTGCAGAAGCTCAACACTCTAATCCCCACAAGATCTCATCGCCAGCTACATTTTCCGACCCCACATCGATAGGTTCTGATAAGCGGTTCTCGAGATTTCGAGCAATTTATGCGAAGCTCAGGGTGCACTACTATTAGAAAAAATACGGTAAATTAGATTCGCAAGAAAGTCTATAGATTTTTGTCTCTGTTTTCTCTTTGAGCATTAGAAACAATTGCTAAGCAGTTTTTTTACTTCACCTCTCCTCTTGATCGCTCGAAAAGTCCAAATGAAATTCATTTATTTCTTTGGAGGCTCCTCAGGCTCTTCAGGTTATCTTCGACATCTCATTTTCTTCACCAAAAAAGTTCTAGTCAAGTAGGTTGAAGAGATTAATAGATCAAGCGCGTTGTAGTGTAATAGTTAGCACAGTTGCCCGGTAAGCGAAAGGTCACGGGTTCGAGTACAGGTATTCGAGTACTAGTACGTACAAGTTTTTGATCTGTCCTAGTTCCAACTGCGTAAAAGAAAAGAATCAAGACCGTTTTTTAGAAAAGTCACTTTTCCATCTAGATTCTCTTCGATTTTGGCATTAAACCAACCATAGAAAAATATTAAGAATAAATTTGAACAAGAGAGCTCACTATCAGTCAAATGGACAAGCTTTTAGCACCAAGACAACGAATGCAATCAATCTTTAAGCCAGCAAGTCTATCAGGACAACTACTCTAAGCAGTTGAAATCGAAAAATCAATCCTACCACCAATACAAAAAGAAATAAAGCAATAAATATCCTTGTTTATTCTTTTTCTTTGTATATCTTTTGTGTAAATATTCAATATTCACTGATTTTATTGGATTAATTTTAAAGTCGAACTTTTATATGATTTTCTCGTTTTAGTCTTGTAGTTTTCAATACAATAAAATTTGTTTACTTTTGAAAAGTATGCGGTTATGATTATCTGATTCGCTTCTATTCGCTCCTGAATAAAGCATACATATATATATATATGTCGTAGCCGATGAAGGATTTCAGCCGAAGAAGTCTGAGACTTCTTCGGCTAGCCGATTAAGTCTCAAAAATGAAATCTTGAGTTATGTATTGACTCAAGTCAATACCACAAACTCAAGCTCTCTAAAAGGCGCTTAAAAGCTAAGAACGCATTCTAGTTGCAGTTGCATTTTTCGACTTTTTTCGATTTTTTGAAATGATCCTGGTAGACCATCAAAAACTTGAATTCTCCATCGGGAACGGATTGAAGATCGATTAAATCCACGTGGCATCTCTCGTTGAAATCCTTTGTAACAATTGGCTTCACGACTATTCCTTTCTTTGGTGTTCCTTTTTTGGGCTCGCATTCTGGGCACAACTTGACAAAAATTTCGATTACTTCTTTTGAGATCCCATGATAGTCTCGTAGTCCTTGCCACATTATATCTCGTTTGGTATTATTTTGGTATTATTGTTTAGTTTGGTCGAAACTTCAGCTTGGATCGAAAAATGCAAAATGCAACTGCAACTAGAATGCGTTCTTAGCTTTTAAGCGCCTTTTAGAGAGCTTGAGTTTGTGGTATTGACTTGAGTCAATACATAACTCAAGATTTCATTTTTGAGACTTAATCGGCTAGCCGAAGAAGTCTCAGACTTCTTCGGCTGAAATCCTTCATCGGCTACGACATATATAAAAGCGCCAAACATAATCTTGATGTCAATTTTCTAATTTTAAATTAAAGCAAATGCTTTTTAAGGTGATATTTTTCATATTTCCCATTCGCAAGGTTATTTATCAAATTCTCTAATCAAATGAAAACCAATAAGGGATAAAAAATGAAAATCATTTTGAATGTGATTGGAAAATATCATTTCTCTCTCATTGAAACTTTTCTTTTCACAAATTAAACGAAAATTTTTATCTTCATTCAAGTTTTTTTCAAAATCAAATTACAACTTTGTTAAGATGAAGTTCTTCTTTGCCTTTTTCTTGATGTTCATCAGCTTTGTTGTTCTTGTTGGGTCAGTTTTAACAGTTTTTGATTTAAATTTGGTCTTAATTGGTTTAAATACTCATTAAACCTGAAAAGTGATTGGTAAGGCTGATAGTTTTATAATTTTTTTTTGATAAAAAATGTAATTCAGAGCCGGAGCAGTTCCAAAAAGTCGGATTGGCAGTGGACCGGATACAGACACGGAAGTGTCGATGCCTTCTGGACAATGGTAAAAAGCAATCAGCCAACTTTTTAAAGCAATTGAATAAAAATATTTCTTCCTTTTGTATGCTTTTACTACAATTTGATAGCTTTTTGTTACTCTAAATGAAATTTTGTAAATTTTTGTATTTTCTCATTTTTTGATGTAATAACAAAGGCACAAAGAAACAAAAAAAATAGTGTAAAGTATTACAGAAAGTATTACAGAAAGTATGATAGAAATGATCACAAAGAAGAGAATATTCTGTAATAATGCAATAAACATTGATAATTCTGCAGTTTTACTGAAAGTGTTTTATTTCGCAAATCATTTATGGACCCGATTAAAGGATTGGGTTATTTTTCATTGAAATTACTATTTCTTGACGTTCCGAAGAACCAATCTTAAACAAGTTATGGTCAGAGCTTGAGCTCTGAGCAGGCCTAGGAGCCTGAGCAGATTTAGGAGTTGAATGAGGAGCTTCCAGATCTTTCAGACTTGGCCCTGGCTCTACGTCAGAGTCAGCGACACAGTGAAGACTAAGGTAGCCTTGGCTGTGTCGCTGACTCTGACGTAGAGCTAGATAAGTTCAGAAAGATTGTTTAACTAATAGAAAACTCAATTCTTTGATCTTATCAATGATTTTCAAAAAAACGAGCAAAATCTTGAGGTTATATTTTGCAAATGAGCGACCGGGATATGTCGCTTCAAGAAAACAGAGAGAAAGAGAGGCACATGTCATTCTTATTTGTATCACCGAGAAGAGAAAGAAAGAAAAACTCAACAAATAACAAATCAGAAAGATCACAATTTAGACAACAGTAAAAAGTCAAAATTCTAAGTGGTCGATTTTGTGGGAGCATTCTTGAAGTGATAGTCGATTCCCTTTCGGCCAGCTTCCACATCTGTTAAAACCTCGTTAGCAGAGACTTGGGTTCTGAAATTGTAAGATTTCAAAGAGATTTCTTTCATCTACACACATTTTTGCGTATCTATTGCTTTAGAAATAGCTCAGCTAGCTGATCAGCGCAAAACCATAATCACAACATCTTCACAACACCCCACTTATCAACCTTTGTGTCATTGGGTCTTCAGAAATCTCCTCATTCAACTCAAAGTTTGATCTATTAAAGATCGTATAACCGCAGAGTTGTTGAGCAAGAATTTGCTCAGTTTGCGGAGCATTTCCCATGGTCCATCGTAGACCAAACGCTCTTAGGTTCACCCAAAAGTAGTACAAAGTTTCACGAGGACTAGAAGAGATTCGTTTTTACAGTTTTTGCTTTAATTTGGTCAGTTTACCTTGTTTCTCCATGTTCATATCTTTCAAGATATGAAACAAATCCTTTCTCGAAGAAGACTGAAAACGCGGTGCAAACAAGTCCGATGAAAATGCAAAGAAGACGAAAAGAGAATGATGGGAGGAAGATGAACTCCATCTGTTCAACCACAAAACGACTGTCTGTCAGAGCCAAGAAGATAGAAAACTAAAGATGGATTGTACAATTATCAAGTAAAGATTTTACTAAAGTTGTTCCAAGAAGTGCTAAGCAGAGCCAAGGATTGCGGATGATCGGTTGACGATGGGGTTTCCCGGCCGAGTAGGCAAAAGCCAAAGCATTGTATTGAATGGTTGAGACGAGGAAAACGGCAGTTCCCTGAAATTTGTTACTTTTTATATGGTTTTCCTGTTTCACATACCACCATGGCTCTCTTATCGTCTTCTTCACCTCCTTTTGGTGGATTGTATGGGACATACCATGGTTGATTGATGACAAGGAAATTGATGACGGCCTAGAAAGAATTTAGGCTAAGATTCTCGAAATAAGATACCTGTCCAATTGCACAAATGACAAGCTGTCCTAGCACTGCTATACAACTTGCTTTTGACAAGATACGAGTTGGTGGAGGTCGATGATAGAGAGAAGAAGAGGCTGGCGCAAAACCAAAAAGCAAAGCTGCCAAAGTGATTAATGGGAGATCGATATACATGAACTGAATTTTAGAGTTTGATTGTATCAAGAATTGTCTTGTATACCATTCCATCCGTTAGATTTGTTCCATAATGGTAGAGGATGAAAATGGAACAGAATTGAGTCAACGAGTAGCCGGCCATGTACTTGATCATCGAGAAAGCTGTGATCAAACTGGCTCTTCCCTCACAGATCACTGTCGGAACACAACGGATGTCAGCAATCTGAATAAGCATTTCAAAAACAATTTTGTTTGCCTGTCTTTTTTTCTTTCAAAACCAATCTTTCTACCTTGGAAGTGAACGGAGCAGCAATTGAAGCTTCAGCATCGGAAAGCGAGATTCCTGCATGAGCTGCCTAAAACTTTTCTTAGCTTTGCAACAATTGCAAAATGTACCTTTAATGCTGCACAATCATTTGCTCCATCTCCAGTGAACATGACTTTAGCCCCAGATTCTTGTAGAAGACTGACAAGAGTCGACTTTTGATCGGGAGCCATTCTTGCAAAAACATCACAACATTGAGCCACATCAGGCAACAGCTCAGCGTGCTCTTTCTGGAGAATATGGAATGTGTGACCTAAATTTCAATCTTAAAAGTTGCCTAGTTGACACCAGAAACTCACCAGTCATTGATAAATGTCCTCCATTGTTGATCACCTCTCTCAATCCATCATCACCGACTACAACTCGTTGCACCAAATCCTCATCTTTTGTCGCAACTACCTAGAAAAGGCAAAGATTCTAGAAAACAAGGAAAGCTACATGCTAAGCTAAATAAATGTTTCCATTTCAACTAAACACAACAACATCCTACCAGCTTTCTGTAGTTGATTGTCTAATATTGGAGAGTAATAGCTGTTAGAGAGTTATAGCTCACATGTTTATAGGTGAGAATTGTTCGTCCTTTCTCATCTTTCTCATCGTGATGTTCAAGGAGATACGCGGATCGATCTTCTCGAATAATTCCGCATTCTCTTCCAACACTCAACGCGGTCAACACATTGTCACCAGTGACCATTACAGCACGAATATTGGCACTAAATTTGTTAAAGCAATGTTAGTGTACAAAGAAGTTCTTGTGTTTTGATCAAAACTTTCAGTCTTTTCCAATTTATCATACAAATTTCGGTTAATCAACCACAATTTATCCGTTAGTTGTACTTTTATTTAGCTAACGGTTTACGAATTCGATAATGGAGCTAAAATGCAGAAGGATTTGAGCTAAATGGACTAAGTTTTGTTTGAAAAAAGGATGAAAGCAACAATCTAACTGATTTAACTTATATTTAACACTGACAATAAACAAATTTAAACATTATACAGTCAAAATTCGATACAACAAATTTGAAATTCTGTCCAAAATGTCCAAAAACGTGTCCAAAATTTCTGGCCGTTCAGAAATTATTCATTTTTTAAGAAACTCCAGTCAAACTTTTTCCGAGAACTTTCTTTCCAACCTAATAGCTTTCTGGGTTAAAAGATTTCTAGAATTTGGATTTTTGAAACCGTAATACGTTGCTCAAGTAAAGCCTTACTCAATCAATTGTCTGATCACAGTTGGCGTCACACTCTTCACTCGATTCTCCATCACAACCAGTCCAAGCATCACCAAATCTTTCTCAGCGTCTTCTCTTTTGATTCGATGAGCTTTTGCATAAGTGAGTTTCATGTCTCTTCTCGCGACGGCAATCAAACGATATCTAAAATATTTAATTAGTTGAATATCTTTAAACTTTACCCCAAATGGGAGTAATGGTTGACAATCGTGAGGTAATCTTTTGGAACGGTGTGTGGTTGGCATAAGCTCATGATCATCTCTGGTGATCCCTTTGAGTAGAGAATCATTTGTTTTCCGGTTTCATCAGATGGAGAAGCGACAAGGACAGATTGTCGTTGGAGTTCAGATCTGTAAAAGGTTTTGCAAAGGTTTACAAAGGTTTAATGGAAAACGTACGTGAAAGTGAATTGTCGAATGATTGCTAGATCTCCAGTTTCGCCGACTGGTGGCCGCATGACACTCGGTTGCACCAGGTCATAGAGATCGTTTTCAGAAATCTCCTTTCTAAAATGACATAGTTACTTGTTTAGCTTATAAAGCAGGGCAAAGTTACGTCCGATTAAGAATTTATCGAATCAATTGTGTAAAAATGTGATGCTTAATGCAAATCTGCTTGAATATCCGTTAGTTTTCATAGTTAATGCAAGGAATAATTTAATCTAATTGCAAATTCACGAAAAATAAAAAAAAGCAATCACAAGAAGGTTTAGAACGCGCCAATGCTGATATTGAGGTCGTTTTACATTTTTTTAACTACCGTATTTTCTCTAGGGGCCCAGAAAGGGAAGGGTCTGTGGTCGACCCCGTCCGATCTGCCAAGTTGAGCAACGTCGGCGCGGGTTAGTCGTGGGTTCGACTCCCATGGGTTCCCCTCCGAGCGCCCCAGCCCGGCCATCGGAGTATCATCGGCTACGACAACTACACTTCTGCCTCAGTAAATGTGGAAGCGGGTTGTGATCTGCGCTAAGTGCGAAGACAGATCAAATCATTATTATTTATTTTCTCTAATACTAGTGCGCCCTGAGCGTCGCCTAAATTGCTCGAAATCTCGAAAACCGCTTATCAGAACCTATCGATGTGGGGTCGGAAATGTAGCTGGCGATGAGATCTAGTGGGGGATTAGAGTGGAGTGTTGAGCTTCTGGGATAACTTGGAAACCGTAAATTAGGCATCAACTCGGCTCGGTGCGATGCACTACTATTAGAAAATACGGTAACCATTAATCGATTCAAAATTTGTTTAGCAAGTTGTTTAACAAGCAAGCCACTCCAAAAAGGAAACCGACGAATTTGAGAAGATTCTAGGGATAATTTTGAATTTGGTATTTAGCTGTATTTTCCCTAATAATAGTGAACCTTAAGCTTGCCTAAATTACTCGAAATCTCGAGAACCGCTTATTAGAACCTATCGATGTGGGATCGGAAAATTTAGCTGACGATGAGATCTAGTGGAGGATTTGAGTGTTGAGCTTTTGGGATAACTTGGAAACTGTAAAATGGTCACTCACGGGGTGCACTACTATTAGAGAAAATACGGTAGTTGGAATAGTTTTTATTGTTTTTTTTAGTTTTAAGATCTTTTTAGGATATCTTTAGCACCTATCAAAGAGAAAACAACACTACTCGATGACCCGTTCATCTCAAGATAATATCAATAAAGAAAACACTAGTAAATGTCTGAGAAAAAATTAGATCTACATCATTTCGCATTAAGCATTTCACATTTTTACAATTGATTTGATGAAAATAAAACTTACGCTGAAATTTCTGGAGAAGTTGGTTCGTGAAACTCCCAAGCAGTTGACTCAAAAAGAAGTAAATCAATCGGATCACCCAAAAGCTTGCCACCAATTCTGAAAACAATTAATATGTCAACTATTTTTGAAAAAAACTTAACACAAGACAAACCTAGTAAGTGAATGACAAGTTGCAATTCCAGCAGCCATTTCTCCATCTTGCGGTAACGAATTTGGGTCCACATTGTAGCATTCTTCTGTGAAATGAGCTCCCAAAGAGCCGTCATCTTGCTGAAATATTTTTCTTGAAGCTAGATATACTTTAAAACTAACCGTTACAATATCAACCGGTCGAATGAGTAGAAAGTCTAACCCGTCTTCTGTCAAAGTACCCGTTTTATCAAAGCAGACCTGAAAGTGAGCTTTGAAATGTAATTTCGTGAGGTTTAAAAAAAATTATAATCAAAACTTACCACGTTGATTGCTCCACAAATAGCAATTTTGCTCGGTGCAACACAGAAAATTTGTTTATCTTCAAGGTTCTTTTGAGATTTCACATAGCAAGAGGCCATAGCAGCTGAAATATTCACTTTTCTAGAGAATTTATGATCTAAACACTAGTTATTACAATGTAATACCTGGGAGAGCTGGTGGAACGACAATGGTGACAATGTCGAGCGCTCTCACAATGCATCTTCTCACTGTTTCCCCTCTCATTGTCATCAAAACAATTGTGTAGGCCATTCCGCAACAAGCCACTCCAAAGAGGAAACCAACGAATTTGAGAAGATCCTAGGGATTGTTTTGAATTTGGTATTTAGCTGTATTTTCCCTAATAATAGTGAACCTTAAGGCTTGCCTAAATTGCCTGAAATCTCGAGAACCGTTTAACCTATCGATGTGGGGTCGGAAAATATAGCTGATGATGAGATCTAGTGGGGGATTAAAGTGTTGAGCTTCTGCAAAAGCTTGGAAACCGTAAAATAGTCATCAACTACATTAGAGAGAATATGGTAATTAAAGCCTTTACTCTCTTCCTATCAAGAAAACCAAAAACCTTTCTCGATGGTCGTTCTCTGCTTTGAATCGGTCTTGAATCAGCTCTAATGTTACTCGATTGAATCTCTCCTGTTTCTATCTTGCCAACTGTGTTTTTCAACTGCCAACTGCTAATTACGAAGCCAAGCTACCTCTTGCACAAGAGAACAAACTTTAGAGTTCCCTTTAGAGTCAATCTCTCATACTTACAGTTAGAATCTTACCTTGTTAAAGAGATATAATAAAAGCTAGCTACCGTATTTCCCCTAAAGTTTGCCTAAATTCCTCGAAATCTCGAGAACCGTTTATCAGAACCTATCGATGTGGGGTCGGAAAATATAGCTGACGATGAGATCTAGTAGGGGATTAGAGTGTTAAGCCTCTGTGAAAGCTTGGAAACTATAAAATAGTCATCAACTCGGCTCCGCTGGGTGCACTATTAGATATTCTATTTTCTTTTACTGACCTTTGTAAACTCAAAATCAGGAGCTTTTGGATACATGATACTCCTGACAAGTTGCCCCTTTGAAGTCGCAAAGCCCGTACGCAGCACAATTGCCTAAAATTTGTTTACTACTATAAATTTCATTTAGTTCTAAAAGCAGTTTAAACAAGGACAGGGTTTTCTAAAATTTTATAACATTGGAGTTGAGCACATTGAAGACTTAAAGATTTCAGGACGAAAGCAACAAATTTTTTTTTTGAAATTTTCCGGTACTCAACTGTGTACCTCGATTTGGGCTACGCCGTTGATGTACTAAAATTGAAAATCATGCAGAAAAAACTTACTAATATATGCTAAATTCTATTTCTTTTATTACCTTGACCCGTTTCCCGGCATAATATCGAGTTTGAAGGACTTCTGTTCCACCGTAGAGGATATGCTTGTCATGTTTCCCAGCAATCAGCACATCTGTTACGAGTTCTCCATTTTCCTCATGTGATGGAAGAGCAGCCTAAACAAGGTGTTCAACAAGATGCTCAAATGTAGCTCTCACCTTTGTAACCGGTACACTTTCTCCAGTGAGCATACTCTCATTGCAGATCACTTGCCCTGTTAGCAACACCAAATCACAAGACAACGTACAGCCGTGTTGTGGAACCAAGACAAGATCTCCCGGAACAACCTAAAGCAATTGTTTTTTTGTTTTTTTTTGATTTTTTGATGATCTAACCTCAGCGTTTTTGATCATTTTGATGACCCCTCCTCTCATCACTTCTACCTCACCACCTCCATGTTGAGCAGCCATTTCTCGAAGGCGGTTCTCACATTTTCGGACCTAGAAAGTTTGAAAAATACGGATTTAACATGAATAATCTGGGAAAAACAATACACAAATAATCCTAAGCCCTAAATATTTACAAGAACAAATCCATCTATCTGGGAAAAATAAACCGATGATCGGGATTGAACCCTTGATCTTCCGACTAAGATATCGGGCTCTTAGCCAGTCGAAAAGCTTGGAGGAACAATAACAAGCCCCTTACTTCTCTGTAAGTTGTGAAAATACCAAGAAGAGTTAAGAAGAACAAACCCATCTATATGGGAAAAAAGAACCAATGATCTAGCCGGGATTGAACCCTTGATCTTCTGACTAAGATACTGGGCTCTTAGCCAGTCGGCCATGACGAAAAGCATTTCGTCATGGCCAATAACAAGCCCCTTACTTCTCTGTAAGTTGTGAAAATTCCAAGAAGAGTTAAGAAGACGATGACACAGGCGAACAGATGATAATCGTCATTCATCCACACAGTGACACTAAAAATTGGAATGATTACAATTGCCAGCTTTGGAATGATTACTATTTTACATTTAGCTTTACCTAAAGGCTTGAAAGAGACAAAATGGACTGATCGCTTCTCGGAGAATAATCTCGAAAGCGCTCTTTTTCGGGATCACAATCTCATTGGAACCATAGATTTTCCTCTAAACAGTTTTTTGAAATTATATCGGTTTTATTTTTACCTTATTCACTACCACTTCTTCATCAAGTCCTTGTCGATCACTGATTGCTTGATATTCACAGAATGCTACCTGAAAGCACGATCTAAATCTGCAAAAGCCTCAAGCACTTACACTTTGATCAATCTGTGACGGAGCCATGAACTTTTTCTGTGTCTCAATCCAATAATAACGCATTTTTCGATAGGAGAACCAACGAATTCCGGATACCTGAACTTTTATTGAAAGCTTTCATCTTTTCGACATGGAAAAATTCCAATCCAAACCACATTCAACCTTCGTTTTCTTCGCCGATTACTCTGGAATTTTGTTTACAAGTAAAGAATGCCAATTGTAAACTATTTGTAAACAAAATTTCAGAGTAATCGACCAAGAGACTGAGAAAACAAAAGTGGAATTAGGTTCGGCTTGGAATTTTCTCATTTCTATTGGGTTGGTGAATTGAAAATGGGACTTTGAACTAAAATTTATTCAACATAAAACCATAAATACATTCCAAATAATTTCCGTTATTATTGACGACTTCTGCCCTGGTTTTTTTTTTTTTGGTTTTGGGTTTTTTTTGGGGAGGGAAAAAAAAAGGGAGGCTTTTGAAGGGGGCTTTTTTTTTTAAAAAAACTTTTTTAAAAGAAAAAAAAAAAAATTAAAAAAATTTTTTAAAAAATTTTTTTTTAAAAATTAAAAAACCCCTTTTAATTAAAAATTTTTTTCCGTAAATAAATATGTTTTTGTGTACATTCTACCGTACACTCAGCTTAGTGCATGCTAAAACGTGGACTTTTTACAAGATGCAAAAGGCTAAAATTTGGAAAATTTTCTCATTCTGGTTCAACGATTAGCAGAGTTTAGCTTATAGTTCTGTCTATTCTGGTTTAACGTTTAGTAAAGCTTAGCCTATAGTGCCTGGTTTTATCCGTGTTTTTCTGTTTTCTCGCATCGCTTTCATTATTCTGCTGTATTGTTTTAATTTAGGTGACGGATGTCGGAGAATTCACAACTCGATGCCCTCAAGGCACATCTGCTAGAGGAAATTTCTGCGAAGCTCAAGCCGAAGCCAGCGCCACCAGCACTTGCAAAACGAGGGCTCGCCATCCAAGCCACGCTCAACCATCAAGTGATCGAGTTACTCGAAGAAGGAACCGATGAGAAACGAGCACAAGCCATTAAATTGTTGAAGGAGAGAAACGCCCTTCTCTTCGCCGCCGACAAGAACCCCAAAGCTTTCGAATTGATGGAGGCCGCCGAGAAAATGAAGTCTATCACCGAGGCAAGCGGGGACCCAAATCTTGGAACGCTCTTGATGGCTACACAACTGCTGAAAGACGAGCCTCCGCTCAAGCGGCGACACGACGAACATCCCTTTCATCAACGGGGCGGAGCTTCCGGCTACGCTTAGTCCCGATACAACCAAGGCCCATCAAACGCCGACGTGTTGCGAGCAATTGATGAACTCAAAGCCCAACAGCAAGCGCCAGCTCGATTTGGTTACAATTCTCGAAGAGTTCAACAAGGTGCTAAATCTCTCCAATGCTACAGCTGTTACCAATATGGTCACACCCGCTTCAACTGCTGACAAGGAGGACCCAGCTCCAGACATTAGTAAGTTTGTTCAAGAGGTTTTTAGTAGATCGGTAGAGTTTTGGTCAAATATCGGAGCCTCGGTTTTTTGGTGTAACGTAGTCAAAAACGGTTTTTCATCCTTTTCCAATTACCACTAGTTCACAAACCCTGGGAGGACAACAGACCATCTGCCTTTTCCCACTCAGTTTTCGTGTCAAAAGAAATACAAGGCCTGCTAGAACGGGGAGCCACGACCATCGTAGAGAAGAGCACTCTCAAATGGTGTTCCCCTCTCATGGTGACGGCAAATAAAGACAAGCACAGGCTGATTTTAGATTTGTCGTATCTCAACACTTTTTTGCCCTATACCAAATTTCGTTTGGAAGACCTGTCTTCCATTTTCCATGCACTCCCACCTAAGGCTTACATGATAAAGTTCAACTTTAAGAGCGGGTACCATCATGTAAAAATACACCAAGATTCCCAACCATATCTGGGTTTTTCCTGGCAAGGTGTCTATTACAAATTTTGTGTGCTCCCATTCGGGCTTTCATCAGCCCCTTGGCTGTTCACAAAATTATTTCGACCCATGGTGCGGAAACTGCGAGAACAGGCAGTAAACATTTGTCTTTACCTGGATGACGGACTAGTCTTTGCGGACAATCTAGAGGAGATTAACCGAATGAAAGAGATTGTTTTGAACACGTTAGATCATTGTGGAGTGGACCTGGCCACCGAGAAATGTGTATTAACGCCTACCCGGAGGCTCAATTTTCTAGGCTTCACCGTGAACCTAGAGGATAGTACAGTGTCAGTGGCGCAACACAGAGTTGCTAAAGCCCGTCGCCTAAACCAGAGGCTCCGATCAGAAACGAGTTCTATACAAGATCGTAAAAGATTTGTCGGTTCCATAATCTCGATGCATTTGGTCATTTTAGATGCGGTGAGGTCAACTCGGTACACATCGCAAGTGATTGCGAAACACGAAATGGGCGGCCGCACGGTGCAAAAAATGGTAGCAGCTAATCCAGAAGAAGAACGTGAATGGGAAGGATGGGCAAGGCGTTTGATGCAGCCTCTACAAAGAAAACTGGTTGATCAATTTTCTCCCGGTGAGTTTTCACTTTCACTGACGCGTCAGCCGTAGCTTTGGGAACGGTTCTTGTAACCCCGGAAGGCACGTTTAGGGCTGCTAAAAATTTATCTAATTCGGAACAGTTGCTCTCCAGCACAAACAGAGAACTCAGAGGCATTCTTTACGACATTAACTCACTCAAACACAAAATTCCTAGCGGGATCTCACTGAGAATTTTTACAGATAATCAAGGTGCAGCAGCCATAGTAAATAAGGGTAGCATGAAATCAGATTTACAAGCGCTCTCATTGGAGATTCACAAGTTTTCGAAGCTTAATCAAATCGTAATTTCTAGTTGGTGGATCCCCAGGGAATTAAACTATGAGGCAGATGAAATGAGTAGGCAAATTGACTTAGATGATTGGGAAATCAAATGGGAGGTAGCACAGCTAATCAAGCGGCGTTTTGGGGGTGCAGATATAGACATGTTCGCGGACGAGAAAAATGTAATTTGTTTGTTTCTAGATGGTCTTGTTCGAAAGCAGCCGGTGAAGATGCATTCGCGTGTTTGGGACTGTGGGCCCCTCCAAATCGACTCTGGTGTATTCCACCGCCCGCCGCCCTCTGCAGAACGATCAGGTTGGCAAAGTTTATGCAAGCCAAGGGAATCCTTGGGTTTCCTAAATGGACATCACACCCAGTTTGGCCTTTGCTGATCAATCCTCAGGGAGATTTTAAGCCATTTGTATTGGAGTATTTAGAATACGGTCCCGGTGCTAAAATTCTTAACCCATCTTCAATCGGAAACTCAGCGTTTAATGGGGAATACACCCAATTCCCTTTTCTTTTTATAAACTTCGATTTTTCCCACCAGAGGGCTTTATAATTCTGAAACCTTACCTAACTCACAACAAAATGTGCACAAAATAATATTTTGTTACTGGAGCGCAAAAGGCGCAATGAAATGAAGGCTTTTGCAGCGGAAGAACAAAATAAGTAATTTGTAAACAAAATTTCAGAGTAATCGACCAAGAGACTGAGAAAACAAAGGTGGAATTAGGTTCGGCTTGGAATTTTCTCATTTCTAGTTCCTACCGTTTTCAATCCTCCATGACCATCAGGCAATTTGCTGTCTCCATCCGATCGTTCAGTGGTCACTACTCGGAAATGAATCTCTTGGTCATCATTTCTAAAAGATAAGTAGCATTAAAGGGCTATTAAATCTTTACTCACTTGATCAAAACCATATCAGCTTCATCAAGACAACAAGAGATTCCTAAAGCTTTTGCTCTCCATTGTTGCCGCCAATGGAGTACCACTCGGTACAATCCTAATGTGCACACCACACAAAGATAGTATAAGGCCTAGAGAAAGTTATATCAGAAAAAAAAGGTTCAAAAACCATTCTAGGCGTTGTTCTCTTGTATCCATGCAATGTGAGTGTGTCCTCTCCATCAGCAATCACTCCTTGATGTCCGGGCGGACTTGCCCCATCTCTTCTACCCGTTTTCATCTCAATCTCTTCCTCTATTTTCGCCAAAATGATTGGGTTTCTCTAAAGGTTGATTTTAAAAGTTCTCATTATTTCTCAAACCAAATTCGTCTTTTTTTAGAGATGCTAGGGAATCTCGTAATCTCCGTAAAGGAGGAAGAGTCTACGCATATGAGCTGTTGTGCTCTTTCTTCAATTGATTCTTTCCGCAAGATCTCTGTCTTAAAGTAAAATAATTTAAAATGAAAATTGAAAGTATTCAAATGAATCTATGACTTAAGAATATAAAAATAATGAAGGAAATCAGAGTATTTCAATTGAAAGAATCCTCAGTCTCAAAAAGATTTCAAAAGTTTGATCGAAAGTTTAATCGAAAGCTTGAAGTGTTTCTAAAAATTGGTTTCTTCTTTAAAGTAGTTCTTTTTTTGGATTGACGTCATCTCACCTTTCCTTTTCTCTTTCAAACAGGAAACCAACGAGGAACTAACAAAAGAATTCTTTCCCTAATTTGCTATGGTTTTGAATCTAAAAGAATGATTTTGAAACTGCCAAATAGGCATTTTGAAGTCCTAAAGTGACAAAAAAAAGTCATTGAATATGCTTTTAATTTTCAAAAAACTAAATTCAATCAATACTTGGTGTAAACAATCAAGAGGGGGAAAAGGCTGGATGTTGAAATCTTTCTTCAGCAAATCTTTCCTCAACAAATCTTGCCTCCAAATCTTTCTTCAGCAAATCTTTCCTGATTAACTAAAGCAAAATTTCAGATACAATTTAAACTTCTTATTTAGATCTATTTACTAGTTTCATTTGAAATTAAATTAGCGCAAAGTTTCGAAAGATTTTGTTGAATTTGTGTGGACTGGGGGGATTGAAAGAAGTTTTTTGTGAAATAGAAGAATGAAAATTGGTTGTTAGCCGGGTGATAATGAAGAAAGGAAGAAAAGAAATGAACAAAAAGAAATGCAAATAAAACTTTATCAGGCGTTTTGTTTGGAATGAGAGAGATGGTAGGAGGCAGCTGACTGATGAGTTCTAGAAAAATCTCATTGAATGAATTCGATAATCTTTTGGATTTTGAGTTCTGATTCGAAGGTTAAAGGGGTACAAAATACAGCTAGAGATAGTCTTTTGAAATCTGATTTCAAAAGAATTCATTGAAAACTAAAATGCGTCTTTGGTATAAAAAATAGCTGAAATTCAGGGCTATTTTTTGATACCTAAGCGCGCATTGTAGCATAAACTAGTGTCGAGAAAAACTCGTTCAAAGCTAGACTACGCAGCACTCCGCACCGTCATTATGGGGGTGGGGTTATTACAGTATTTACGGTAGGTGAATGAACGATAAACGAAAGCTCAAATCTTCTGATGAAATTCGAGCTTTTGAGAGTGTTTGCAATGCTCTCAACAATCAAACAAAGCCTATATGACTCATAAAGATGAGCAACTTTTGAAAAAGTGATTCAATTTAGGAACTGTTTTCATTTAAAATTTTTTCTTTTTTTTTCTCAACTAGATTCTCCAGCTTTTTTCTCTAAATGAATTCTTATCTTTGGAAAAAACAAACAAGGGAAAGCTTAGGATTTTTGGGTGAGTATAACACTTTTTCGGAAGCTTTGTGATAAAGAAGAAATGGGGATGGAGAAGAATCAAATTTTGAGAAAGGAAATATATTTTAAATAATGATACAGCCATAAAAGTCATCTAAATCTAAATCTAAATCTTTGAATCAACGTTATTTTAAATAATGTAACTTTGTAAGCAGTTAAGGATCTATTATGCTCAGAAAAATCATTGAAAAATTTGCGGAAAGGCTTTAAAATGTTTTAAAATGTAAAATTCTTAAATAATCAATATAAAAATCGTATTATGAAGTGAAAAATGTAGATTAGATCTTCGAAGATCTTCCGGAGATGGATTTTGGTCTGACTAGGTTCATTTGTTCATCGATTTCTAATAAAGAAAAGATAATGACTAAGAAAAGATGATGACAAGACAATAATAAGATAGCATCGACTTAGAAAAAGAATAATATTTACATTACTAACAAAAAATTATTGCTACTGGTGAGTTTTCGATAGAAATTGATGATGAATCTAGATCCCGATTGTTATTTCAGCGAAAAAAGACGGACCAATCGGTCAAATCAAGGCAAGGGTACCCGTTTTTTTCTTTTTTTCTCCGGCTGGCAGTCTTATCGTTTTGATCGGCGCGAACGAAACAAAAAAGGAAAAGAAATGAGAAGAGATGGATGAAAAGAAGGTGGTGGTTTGGGGAAAGGAAGGGGAGGGGAAGGAAGGGAAAAGGAAGAGGTGTCAATGTATTCTCTCAATCCATCGCCTCTCTTCCTTCAATGCATTTCATTACAGATGAATGTCTCGTTGACACGTGTTTTGTGCTTGTGCTGAACAATTGAGAGCACTAAATATTGTAAATTTTCTAATAAAAGAGTCCCTATAGTCTTTTTGCTCTCTAACAAACGCTCAAATCTTGACACGAGTACGTTTGTTTGTTTTGGTTATGTATCAAATTAAAGTAGAGAGAGTGAGTGATTTTTTGATATATAACACATACCGTAAATACTGTAATAGTACCCCAGCTCCATAATGACGGTGTGGAGTGTTGCGTAGTCTAGCTTTGAACGAGTGTTTTTTGACACTGGTTTATGCTACAATGCGCGCTTTGGTATCAAAAAATAGCTGAAATTCAGGGCTATTTTTTGATACCAAAGACGCATTTTTTGAAAGTATGGGCGCTTTGACAAAAATTAAATACTAAAAAACTTTTGCGACTATGCGACTGTACGAGGGGGGTGGGCTAAACGTACCGTAAATACATAGTATGCTTAGCATCAAACTAGCGCTTAGAAAACTGATTGAAAAGTGGTAAAAAAAGCGTTCATCATTTAGCTCTTCTTTTAGAATATTTACAATAGATTCCTTTGTTTTCTGACGTAGTAAGTTCAATGGTACAGTGAAGCCCTTTTAATAACAAAGTCTTGCAAAATAATATTGCATATAGCAAGAGTTTGTACAAATTTCTATATAGATTTTGTTTAAATTGTATTTAGATTGACAATAATTTGCTTGTATTCATGGCTAAGTGCTAGTTATCCCTACACCCAAAATCTAAAAAATGCCCTTCTAAAGCAAATTCGAAAGCCGTATTCTAATTCAAAATGATTCTTGTACTTATGTATAGAAAAATCTGGCCATCAACAGCCAGACATCCTTCCCTTTTCCCCTTTTTGATCATCGCTCATTTACGTGGCATAGGCCTTTCAAAAAATATTGACCAACTCATGTCAAATATTGTTTAATTAAAATATAAAATGGCTGAAAAGCTGAAAATAATATTATTGAGAGATTTGTTAACAAAAATTTGTCAAAATTGTGCAATTTAGCTGAAAATGAATCATTGTTTGCTTATCGATTTCGTAACAGAAAAAAAGATTAGCTTTTATCTTTTAGATAAAGAAAAACTATAGATAGAGTTTAAAACTTTAAAGAAAGCAATTAAAGTAATTGGGTTGGTTGGTTGGTAAATAGAAGAGAATCAATTGTTTGTCGTGAAAAGGGGACAGTCGCCTGGAGGCAGATTGGCAGAGGGTTAGGGCCAGAGAGGGCCCATGAATGACGGGTACGGTAGAAGATCCAGAAAAAGGGAGAAGCTTGAGCTTTTGGAAGGGTTGTGAAGGGGATTAGGAGACAAGATTTGTAAGCTATTCATGCAAAAGCTTTACTACAATATTTCTTTTATCTGAAAGTAATGTTTTAGTAATACAACGAAAGTTTGAGTAAAAAAGAAAGGAAAAGACTAGTTTTCTAATTAAAAACTGAAGATTGAAATGAATAGAAACAATAAAAGAGTGTTTTTAGCATCAGTACAAAAGAAAAATGGCTAATTTTATTCATGAAGCTATTTGATCGGCATTATACATTGGGTTTCCAGGATTTATTGCTTAGAAAAGAGAAAAGATCTATTGTTTATTGTTTATTGTAGATTTAGAGATGATGCTAAGCTTTAGATTGATAATTATAATCTTATAATTTGATAATCTACAGGGTGCGTCATAATTATTGCAACAAGAGTTCAAAGACCATTTTCCAAACAGCTTTCTTATTTTTTTTTGCCCCCTTTTTTGTTGTGTTGCGTTCTATCTTCTTTATTCTTGCCTAATTGCCTCCCGCTCACACGAAGAAGACGGTTCAGGACTGGTGTGTGGCCAACTTTCCCTCAGTGATCACCAAGGATGAATGGCCTCCAAACTCACCGGATCTCAATGTGATCGACTTTTCCATTTGGCCAATCTTAGAGGCTAATGTCTGCTCTTTGAACTTGAAGAAGTCTTTGACCTTGAAGAAGTCTTTGACCAAAGGATGGAAGGCGACTCCTCAAGATGACATTCGGGCCGCAGTGGAGGCATATCCGAACCGATTAAGGGCTGTTATCAAGGCAAAAGGCGGTCATATCGAATGATCTCTTGTTTCCTTATTTGTTACTGTTAAATAAAGCTATTTCTGTTTAAAAATCTTCTTCCAGTGAAACTTCTTGGTGTGCAATGCCTTGAGTATCTTGTTGCAATAATTATGACGCACCCTGTAAAAGAAAACGAAAAAAACAAACTAAAAGAATTAGGCAAATTTTTGATCTATCAGATTTCTAGTTGACCTAACTAACTTCAATAAATAAAAAGGAAACAACAAAAGAGTGTTTTTCTTTTCAAAAAAATAAAAAAAATAAACGAAACTAGAGTGTTTTTCTTTTCAATAAATAAAAAGGAAATAACACTAGAGTGATTTCCTTTTCAAATCTCTAAAATAACGAGCTGCAATCCATAGCTTTTCCCAATCGAATGTTTTGTCTATTTTCACATAAAAGATCTCTAAAAAAGATCTATTTTGAAACTCGATTTATCAGATTTTTCATCAAATTCCTTTCAAGATACCCTTTAATCTTGAAAAAAATGATAATAGATCAATCAAATGTCGACTTGTGAGAATCAGTAAGATCAAGATCTCCAATTGACACTCACTGACAGCTACTTGGATAGTTCAATGGCTTAAATTGATACCTAAACTTTTTTCTTGAGATTTACTGGCAAGTCATTCAATCGTATCCCAAAATTTTTGTGTTCTTTCTGGATTTAAACGAATCTCCACCTAAATATAACACTTTTTAGGGATCAGGGAAAAGCTCCCTGATCCCTGCGAACAGAAATTAAACTATATAAATTCCAAATTTCTTGTAGAATTAGTATCATTTTAGTAATAATCTCCAGCTTTTTAAACTAAAAATAAACAAAAGAATGTCTTTTGGTCGAAAGAGATCTCAAAACAACAAAAATAAATGGCAAATGGGGAAAGTTACCGAGTTACCCAGGCAAGTTACCGAGCTCCCAGACGAGTTCTAATTGTCTTTGTAGCAGAAAACATTGCATCTACCTGACTGAAAGCTATTTGTCTGATCTGGCATCAGATTAAATTTAAACCTGTAATGTAATGGCGGTAAGAGAACGGTAGCTTTCCCCCCAAAGAGCACCTTTTAGAAAACAGTCTACCCAAGGGGAATCAGGGGAAAGCTTCCTGATCCCTGAAAAGTGTTATACTTAGGTATAAATTCTTTTAAAACCTATTTAGTTTACATAAGTTTTTTTGCAGCAAATAAAAATGTCTTTCAAGTTGTCTTTGTTGTAACTTTGAACTTTGAACTGTACTTTTCTAACTGAATGAGCTCGCAGCTGATTCCTTTAGTTGATATTAGCCAAGTTAATTGATTTGATAAAAAGATAAGGAATATAAGTATATTGGAATTTGAAGATCATATTATATAAAGTAAAAAAGATGAAGACGAGCTTGAAATGTTAAAGCTTCAGTTAAAGTTAAAGTTAAAGCTGTTAAAGCTTCAGTTAAAGTTAAAGCTGTTAAAGCTTCAGTTAAAGTTAAAGCTGTTAAAGCTTCAGTTAAAGTTAAAGCTGTTAAAGCTTCAGTTAAAGTTAAAGCTGTTAAAGCTTCAGTTAAAGTTAAAGCTGTTAAAGCTTCAGTTAAAGTTAAAGCTGTTAAAGCTTCAGTTAAAGTTAAAGCTGTTAAAGCTTCAGTTAAAGTTAAAGCTGTTAAAGCTTCAGTTAAAGTTAAAGCTGTTAAAGCTAATGATTCAGAAATGTAAGATGTGAGAATGGAAAAAGAAAAAGAGACAATTCAAGAGAATTAATCTAATGCACTCACTAAAAACCAAATTGAAAGAAAGCCTTAAAAACAAATGACAAAATGATTGGTTGTGTTTCCAAATGTAAAATAAATCTTTATTAGAATTTTAAGTGAGCATATCAATGTCAACAAATCAGAACAGAAATTAAACTATATAAATTCCAAATTTCTTGTAGAATTAGTATCATTTTAGTAATAATTTCTAGCTTTTTAAACTAAAAATAAACAAAAGAATTTCTTTTGGTCAAAAGAGATCTTAAAACAACAAAATAAATGGCAAATTTATGCACCGAGGGTATATTTTTTTTGTGTAGAATTGATAAACTAACAAGATTTAAAGAATCAATCAATGAAATGTCAAGTAATCGGCCGTAAATCATCTTCATCTGACTCATCTTCATCAACATCGATGGTGACATCGGTTCGGAGGAGAGGAGAGCTCTCGGAGGTAGCATCGGATCGAGATCTGAATAGATATTTTGCAAGATTTGAATTTAAATTTACCGTATTTTCTCTAATAGTAGTGCACCCCGGCGAGCCGAGTTGATGCCTATTTTACAGTTTCCAAGTTATCCCAGAAGCTCAACACTCAAATCCCCCACTAGATCTCATCGTCAGCTACATTTTCCGACCCCACATCGATAGGTTTTGATAAGCGGTTTGCGAGATTTCGAAGAATTTAGGCAAGCTTAAGATTCACTATTATTAGAGAAAATACGGTACATTCTAAAGAAAATTACTGAAGTAGTGATTGTTTTCAAGGAATACAAAACCAAAGCTTACTTTTAAAGTATTAAACTGAAATTGTTAGGTAGAATGTACTTTTCAAATAGTCTTTGGCATAATGTTCACCGATAATTCGAAGATACCCAAACCGGGAACCGAATGGCTACTATATTGTCCCTAATAGTAATGCCGAGTTGATGCCTAATTTACAGTTTCCAAGTTATCCCAGAAGCTCAACACTCAAATCTCCCACTAGATCTCATCGTCAGCTACATTTTCCGACCCCACATCGATAGGTTCTGATAAGCGTTTCTCGAGATTTCGAGGAATTTAGGCGACGCTCAGGGTGCACTACTATTAGAGAAAATACGGTATATTAGATTGGCAAGAAAGTCTATAGATTTTTGTCTCTGATTTCTCTTTGAGCATTAGTAACAATTGCTAAGCAGTTTTTTTACTTCACCTCTCCAATTGATCACTCGAAAAGTCCAAATGAAATTCGTTTATTTCTTTGGAAGCTCTTCAGGCTCTTCAGGTTATCTTCGACATGTCATTTTCTACACCAAAAAGTTCTAGTCAAGGAGGTTGAAGAGATTAATACTGTTTAGGCAAGGCTTAATAGTATACAAATGATATCATCGTTTCAAGAAAGGTCACTTTTCTTTGGAAGAGCCGAGGTCGATTTCAATGAAACAGCTCTTGTCAATCTTTTACAAATCGATAACAAACAATCAACTAGGGATCTGGGAGAACAACTTCAGATCTCATACAACAATTGAAAATCACCTCAATTCAATCACCTCCAAATTTGGAGCGTCGGTTCCCTATACTCTGACTGATGTGATGGCAGATCTCGGTTCGGGTTAAGGTCTGGACTATAAGGACTATAGACTATAGACTATAGACTATAGACTATAGAGTATAGAACTATAGACTCTCAATCTCGGTTTCAAGATACAACCGATATTCTTTTATTCCCCATGTTCTTACTGGTGATGAAAAGTGGGTATTATATCTCAACTATCAACACAAGCAAGGGGTTGGACCTGAGCAAGACCTGAGCCGAAGCCAACTCCACCAGAAGAAGATCTGTTATGCATTTTGTGGGATATCGAAAGAGTTATTTACTGGGAATTGTTGCCTGGAAGTCCGACTGTTACTGTACACTATATAGTTGAATAGCTGAAATCACAAGAAAGCGGCCAAACAAGGGAATAGTTCCGTTTTGCATGACAAGGCCAAACCTCATTTGCCAATCTCACAAGAAAAATTGAAGGAGTTATGGTGGGGATTTTCCCTCCTCCTTATATTCATTTTCCCTTCTATTTTCCCTTATCTTTTCCTGAAGCTAGCTGCAGAACTTGCCAATGAGCAGAACTTGCCAATGAGCAGAACTTGCCAATGAGCAGAACTTGCCAATGAGCAGAACTTGCCAATGAGCAGAACTTGGCAATTCGGGGACCGAGCTGAAGTCGAAAATTGGCTCCGTGGGTTCTTAGCTTGCCAGCCGGGAGAAAGAAATTTGCGTTTTGCCCAATAAATGAGAGAATGTGATTCTTAAAAATGTGATATCTTGAATAAATCTAGCTTTTGAGAGATCAGAGCAAACTTTTTCTAAAAACTTTCTCACCAATCTAATAATTCTTTGAACATCAAACAAAACAAGGAATTCCTCTGTAAACATAAAGCTATCTAATGAAATTCAAAACCCAATCTCATCCATTCATACCACAATAGTTTTCACCTTACCTTGGCAGTGAATTCAATTACTTAATGATCGGTTGTGCAGTTTTGTGGCTGTTTTACCTTGCTGTGAACATATCTAAAGTGTCTTGACTGGGAGCAGTCTTCTGAAGTGATCTTAAAGGTAGTTCTGGCATTCGAGCTCTTGCAATTTTTGCGGCAGCCTCATCAGCAGAATAGTTTCGATTTCGAAGGGAAAGGCTTCTAAAAAAAGCTAACTTTCACAGCAAACTAAGCTTTGATTAGTCTACTTCACTACTTCCAATCATCTCTTACTTAGCATCCATCGCAGAGCTGTCTAATCGAGCATGAGCTGAATGTGGAGGACTCTTCCTTCCATAATCCCCTCCAGTTCTCATTCTTCTTTCTTCAAGAAACAATTCCAACAACATATCCATTTTCTTATCAATTTGTTCAATCTGAAAGATTCGAATTTGAGTCAAAAGCTTTTCTGTTTACCTGTCTCTCTACATGAATCACTCGATGGCTTAAAGGTAGTTTAGCTTCAGTTTTGTCACAAGTTTTCCCAACGATTAGATCGAGTCTGAAAATGTTAACCATTGAATTTTAACCAATTCAATTAAAATTTGAATCTAAGACTTACTTTTGTTGTACAACTTTGACTCGAGATTGTAAATCGACATGACCAGCTGAGTATTGTTCAATCACATCTTTCACATCATAAGGCTTTAAAGCTTCTTTAAACTTTCGTCTAGCCACCATCAACTAGAACTTTGGCTTTGCTTAAACTTTAGTTATATTTGATATATTTGATATACGCTACTGGATAATGAAATATCATATTTGAAAAAACGATCGTCACTTTCGCGCGTCTGTAACTCCCTTGTCTTTACCGTATTTCTAAATATTAATATTACCATTGTCTAGCCCTTGAAAAGAGCTTTTAGAAAATGTATAACACTAATAGTTTAAACTTAAAGACAAGGGAGTTACAGACAAGGGAAAGTGACGATCGTTTTTTCAAATATGATATTTCATTGTCCAGTACTGTACCTGTATCCTCCTTATTGCTCTAATTGTATTCTTTAAGACTGGAGTGTACTCATCCATTGTTCTCGGCTGAATCGACGGATATTCGTCGTCTGAAATCTTTAGTGATTTAAAATTCGTTCTTCAAAAGCGGAGTAGAAGTTTCTGTCAAAGCCAACCGTTTTTTGCTGAAAGTTAATATGGGGATAAGACTAGCAGCTGGCTTGAGTGATGAATGGGAAAGTGCAGAAGAGACAGAACATGCAAACAGGCATTTATAAGAATACTTTCTAACTAAAAATACTAAAATTTTAATTCTGTATTTACAAGCATTTACAAGAATTCGAATTAATATTTAAAAGTTGATAAGTTTAGAGATTGTTTAGTTAATTTTGAGCTTTCAGTATAGTCACAATTAAAGTCAATAGTTCAAAAGACTTTGATTTTATCTTTTCTTACTTTTTAAGCTATTTCTTCAGCCTTTTTTCTCAGAAAATAGACATGAACTTAAGCTTTGAAATGTAGAAATATGTTATGCAAAAAGTGTAGAATAAAAGACAGTAGTAGAGGTTGAAGCGAATAGAGAGATTGCCGGGGACTGGCTGGGTACCGCTGATCGAATCCGTTGATCTTCTCGGAGCACAAGTGGTGAACTGTGACCAGACGGGTCCAGACGTTTGATTGTTTCTTTTCCTCAGCTTTTCACACCATTCATACAATGGGGCAACCATGAGTGAATAGTCGCCGATCACTTCTCGATCTTCTGCCAGATATCTACACAATGAGAGAGACCGACGATGTCTTCTCATAGCCGCTTCTTCTTTTGATGCCCCTACACCAATCACCAAGTTTATTTTCAAAAGAATTAGTTACATTTCAGACCAGGCTTGCATTCAAAGGAGTAATTTGAGCAAGAAAGATAACTATAAAGCTCTCTTTTGATTGAGAAAGATAACTAGAAAGCTTTCTTTCTCAAAGATAGCTACAAAGCTCTCTTTCTCAAAGATAGCTAAAAAGCTCTCTTTCTCAATCGATATAGAATTGTTTACTTTATTTAAAGGACTATCGTAACCAGACACTTTTTGAGTTTAGAGTAAACCATGGCAACCTTGAATTGCTTTAGAGCGTGCCCACATCAAACAAAATAGGTTTTAGCAATGGAATCAGCAATCTTTCACTTGTATTTCTTAGATTTGCTAAACAATAGAGTTATATTTCTTAGATTTTCTAAAGAATAGAGTTATGCAATGCAAAGAATAGAGTACGCATAATATTCTATAGCAAAATCTACTTTATTCTTCATTTCTTCATGTTTAAGTAACAAAAAGTAATCAATCTTTTCTTCTTTCTTGAATGCAATCCTTGTCTTAACCGAATTCACACTCTCAACTCAATATTTTAAAGTGCGGTGAGAAATTTCGCCACCAGAAAGATCTGTTAGTTTAAAACACAATTTTCTCGTATTATAACAAAGCTTTCAAAGCTAAAGAAGCTCAAAAAACATTTAGAGAATTTGAAAAACTTTGCCACAGAAAGACTTTTGATGCACGGGTTGCTCGTCCACTCTCAAAATGATGCAAATGAAATCAGAACAGAATTCTTTCTTTGCAAAAAAAAGAGATAGACAAGAAATTGAGAGAAAAGAATTGAAAAAATTCATTGAGTCGAGAGGGACCGACACACCCATGCAACGAAAATCTAATCTACCGTATTTCTTCGAATAGAAGACCGGGTAAAGAGTATCATCGCGTACTCCTGCGTAGCAGCCCTTTTTGACATTTCTTTTCTGCATAAAAGCTTTCAATGAAGTGCTATAGAGCTGGAAAATAGCTCAAAAATCTGTTAGCTCATGTGGTATTTTTGAGTCATTTTCCAGCCCTATAGCACTTGGTTGAAAGCTTTTATGCAGAAAAGAAAGTTTAAAAGGGCTGCTACGCAGGAGTACGCGATGATACTCTTTACCCGGTCTTCTATTCGAAGAAATACGGTATTCAAAAGATTGAAAGAAAAATGAATAAAACTGAGGTTTATTGATTGTAAAAATGTATTAATTTTTAAGCTTGATGATAAATTTGTTAGTTAACAGAGTATTAATTGCTTATTTAATGCATACCGATATCCATATTGCCTAAGGAGGCTGAAGTCGCAACTCGGGTGTGAAGGGATGAGTCATCAACCGTCTTTCGCGTGTCTCTTTTGCTTTTACTTCTCCAATTGCCCAAAGAAAAACCCAAAGTGCCCAAGGATTCTAATTCACTGATGTCAGAGGTTGAAACAATGCTAAAATAGTATTAGATTTGTCTTGATAATAAAATAATGCCTGATATTGTCACTGGGCTTTGGGACGAGAAGAGTTTTCATCACTGGGAGACTGGCTACATTGTTGGTGACTGGAGTTGAGTTGGGTAGGCCTTAACTGGTTGTAGAAATGTAAAAATGAAGTCTTTTTCATTGCTCAAAACCAAGTTATGTGTTTGTTTTGCCGTTTAAGAAGGTTTGCTTATAAAAATGAAATCTTTTTCATTGCAGAATACTATTGGGTTGGTGAATTGAAAACTGCGGGACTTTGAACTAAAATTTATTCAATATAAAACCATAAATTCATTCCAAATAATTTCCATTATTATTGACGACTTCTGCCCATTTTACAGGCAATTTGCGGATTCCTCTTTCGTGGTAGGATTTTGGTTTTGAATCGATTTTTGTCAATTTTTGTCAAAGTCAATTTTTGACTGCTTCTTCCGAATGGAAGTGTTCTCCCGCAAGCTCATTACTCATGATCCGGAATAAATAGTAATCAAAAGGGGCGAGGTCCGGGCTGTATGAGGAATGCGCCAAAGGTTCCCAAATAAGGCTATTTATTTTAGAGCGAGCCAATTTTGCAACGTGAGGGCGCGCGTTGTCGTGGAGGAGAGCGATCTTTGACTTGGAGGGCCTATTCTTCTTCAGGGCTTCATTCACCTCTCCCAACCGTCCACTGTATTTGATTGCATTAACGGTCGTCTTGCTATCCATCAACTCCCAGTACAAGTGTGTGAGACAAGTGTGAGACTCAAAAATGGAGGACTGGAGATGTCCCAGTTTGAGCACTTTCTTCAAAAGAAACCCATTTTGGTGTCATCACTGAGTACTCCGTGGGAAATTTGGCTATAAGCTTGATTTTTGATTCTCTACAACTTTTCCATTGACACCAAAATGGGTTTCTTTTGAAGAAAGTGCTCAAACTGTGACATATGACAATTCAATTCACCAACCCAATAAATTATATGTTTGTTTTACCGTTTAAGAAGGTTTGCTTATGAAAATGAAGTGTTTTAGCTTAAAGAATACTGAGTAATTTATGTTTTTTACCGTTTAACGTTTAACAATCTCGTTTCTTACTTGTATTTGTCTTCTTCTTTGTCGATTGTCGTATCCTGCTGATCAACGAGTTTGGTCCGCCATTGCCTTGAGGCGTCTTTATGCTAAAAGTCCTCATTGAAACTTGAAATCTCTTAAATCTACCGCAAGCTAATCAATAAATCGAAAGCTGATAAAGGTTAAAAATGGAAATAAGACAAGCTTTGAAAGGGAAAAACGGACAAGCAAAAAACTAACATGCAAAAAACCCAAAGAAAACTCTCTAGTTGACCTGTTAGAATACTCATCATCCTCAAAGAATCGATCATTCGACGGAAATGATGGTGATGGTGGTGGTTGTGATTGATTCTTTGTTGATCCTGATCTTTTCCATCGCAATGAAAGGGTTCTTCTTTTACTTCCCGTCCTCACTGGTGTCTGTCTAATATTTGAAAGAGTGAGAAGAGAAAGAGAAAGAGAATAAAGGCAAAAACATAGGAGCTTTCTGAGTTTTTGCCTTTAATCTTTTTTTTAAGAAAATAGTTGTTAAGAGGGGCCAATGAAAGATTAGATTTTGACCACAACAAGTTCTTTTTTTTGGTTCACAAAACAACGAAATTGCTCTCAATTTGACAAGAAGAAGTCGATTAAAATTGAGGATTTAAGGAATTTTTATGATTTCCTTTTTAAAATTCATCAAAGTTCTAGTTGTTATTGTAAGTTCTTTAAAGATTCAAGAGTTTTACATTGGAGGTGATGGAGCTGGAGCTAGATGTACTTTCCAAGTAGCCACTGAGCAACTTTCAGTAGCTGCAGAGTAGTGCCTCCACAAGCATTGAATCAATCGAGCAGCTGGTACCCTTCTCCTAAACATTCATCTATTCTAGAGTTAGATTAACAATTAGATTGTCTTCTTCGCGAGTTTTTTTTATGCAATTTGTTATACAGATTTTAAAATCCAAGGTTTTGCTTAATATTGGGTTGTCCAGTTATGAATGCGCGTTTTTTACTATTTTGTAAATTTCTCAAGATACCGAAATCAAGAAAAATATATATATGAGTATTATTCGAAAGCTGAAGATCTCCTCTACATTTTGATATAAAACGTTTTTGAATTTGTTCAGCTTTTGGGCAAATTGACTGCACAGAAGAAGTGGTGGCCAAAAAAATGGAAGGGTGCCTTTGGATCAAGTTTTGGCTCCGCTCAAATTGAGTTAACCGTTTGATGTTTGGCCAATAGATATATCAATACAACATTTTTTAAATATAACAATTTCAGAGCATCTTTACCTTTCTTTTCTTTTCTGGGCGGTTATTTTACACCATCAAACTTGAGGAATAGCTAAGCTGAAATGGGTTTTTTCGAAAACGACCTTTGTGCAGTCAATTTCCCAAAAAGTTGAATAAATTCAAAAACTTTTTTATTCCAAAATGTAGAGGAGATCTTCAGCTTTCGAATGATATATAACACTCATCTACATCTGTTCGATATCTTGAGAAATTTACAAAATAGTAAAAACGCGCATTCATAACTGGACAACTCAATATTTATGGGGACTTTTGAGCTCGCAAGTCGCTTAGCGCTCTCAAAATTTCTTTATGAAAGACTGAGTTGAAACAAATGAAATTTCTAGATTATTTTTTGCAGTTTACTAAATTTGATATTCTAGAAATTGATTTATCGAAACTTGATCATCAAATTTTATCAAAAAAAAGTCGTTCTCGTCATTCAAAAAGGAGTTGTTCCAGTTTTTCTTGTTTAACCCATTCGAAACCGAAGCATTTTTTCTTTTTTTTCGTCTGCGGACCAAGCCCTTTCTTGACATTTTTGACTCCGAAGCAGTTTATCCAGATGGTTGGAAAGATTTAAGAGAGTCTCCTACACCATTTATTTTTGATGAAGAACGATTTGGATTTGACTTTAGTACTTTTCAAGATCCTATCGATTATTATTCTTATTTTATCGACGACAAATTAATCAATATGTTAGTAGGCGAATCTCATAAACATGGAAAAAGGAAAACAACCTGGCAGGATTTCGATGCAAAATCTTTCAAGCTCTTCCTGGCTCTCTATCTTCAAATGGGAATCGTCAAATTACCGAGGATTCGTGACTACTGGAGTAGCAGGCCTGGATTAGGAGGATTTTCCCACATTACGTCAAGAGCAAAATTTGAATCTATTCTTTGAAACCTGCGCTTTTGTGATAATGAACTGGATTCTGCAGGAGATCGGCTTTATAAGATTAGAGCTATTATGGAACATTTCAATGCAAAACCAGAGGCTGCGTTGATTCCGGGTAAATATGACACATCTTTTTTGCCCACGTAATTTGTAGATCTGTTACAATTGGAATATACATGTAATGCTGAAAAACAGCAAAAAAAACCCAATTAATTGAATGAAAATAGCGCAACGGTCCGTTCCTGAGTTTTTGCTGCAGCGATTATTCGCTGCAGAAGTTTCGAATGGGTTCAATGATGAAAAAGTCTTTACTATTTAACAGTTTTTGAATCTACGGGACATTAAAAATGTCAGAATCACATTTTAATTTTGATTCTTTCAAGAAAACTTAACATAAGTTTGGGAAAAACTCAATTTATCCGACTTTCCACAGCCATTTCTAGACAAGCAACATCGCAAAAGGTAATAATTTTAAAAAAGTAACTTAAAGTTGTTAATGTTGATAAGTGACTTTCATTTTTAGCATTAAACTTGTACAAAATGAGCTCTAAACGTTGTAATCTACTGATCCCCATAACATTGAACACCTTGCAGAATATGATTAACAATTCTTACCTAATCAAATGCTTTTGTCGTTGATGTTGTTGCACTTTCAGTGCAAATCCTGACCCAAGAATCCCAGCTGGTAGAGCAAAGAAAGAAATCCCAAGAAGAGCGCAAAAAGCTCCGATAATCTTCCCTGGCCATGTCTCAGGCGTTTTATCACCATATCCAACTGTCGATAACGTTATCTACAAAGATTTTGATCAAAATAAATAACACTTTACACTCACCACTCCCCACCATAATGCATCAGCGAATGTACTGTATTTATCGTTTGTGTTCTTTTCACATAAATATACAAGAAATGAAGAAAATATTAGACCGAGAAAACCAATGTAGAGAGTTGTTAGAAGCTCCTGGAAATTCAAGGGATTGTTAGGAAACTTTTACAAATCAGAATTGAATTAGGAAATGAAAACTATCCCAATCTCATCCTGGATGGCCTAGGGGATAGTATGCTAGCGTCTGGCGCCTAGTAGTCCTGGTTCGTTTCCTCTCAATGTCAATTCTTTTCCTTTTTTTTTACAAAAACCCATTTTGAAGTATTCTAAAGTGTCCATGGACATTGATAAGCTACCTCAAGCACTTAAAAGTTGACTGAAAATGACTTAGGTCCCAGAGAGTTATCGACTTCGATGGGAAAAATTTGGTTAACGTTAACGTTAACTAGTTACAAATTGTTATTTTATGAGAAAGAGTTGAAAGAGTTTCCTATTGCTTTAAGTGCATTACATACTTGTCGATGAGCCCAGACAACACTTCCGAGGAGTTTCCAAGTGCCAGCTCGACGATCGATTCGCAACATTCTGAGAATTTGAAAAAAGCGAAGACCTCGAATTGCGGATGCCGCAAACACCTTAAGACTTTGATCTGCTGTTGATCCTGAGCAAGTTTATAAAGTTGAATCTTATAAGCTATCGTACCAAGATCCTAGATCTCACGAGAAGATCCTAGATCTCACTAGAAGATCCTAGATCTCACGAGAAGATCCTAGATCTCACTAGAAGATCCTAGATCTCACTAGAAGATCCTAGATCTCACTAGAAGATCCTAGATCTCACTAGAAGATCCTAGATTTCACTAGAAGATCCTAGATCTCACTAGAAGATCCTAGATCTCACTAGAAGATCCTAGATCTCACGAGAAGATCCTAGATCTCACTAGAAGATCCTAGATCTCACTAGAAGATCCTAGATCTCACTAGAAGATCCTAGATCGCACTAGAAGATCCTAGATCTAGATCTCTTAAATCTCACCTGACCCGTAGCACCAATCACCAGAACAATAATCGAGGCAACGATAACAATAATATCTAAAGATTTTGTGAGAGATTTTATGAGAGATTTTATGAATATAACTAACTAATAAGCTAATAACTAACCAATAATACAATAGGCAGAGGTGGCAAAGCGAATTCTCCCCGCAATCCCTCGATATCTAGAACGACAACCGGCCGACCAAACTCTGCACACATACTCAATGCCCAACCAGATAACGAACACGATTTCCTGAAATTAATTGAATAAGGTTTAAATCTTAATCACTCACAATATAATACAATATCAAAGTCGCGTTCTTCTCAAAATCCGGCATTGTGGAGAACACAGAGAGCGCCAAACACATTAACACCATTACTAGCCTGGAAATGCACAATGTAATCATCACTTGCATCTCTGCTGATCAATAAGTGATGGATAAAGTCAACTTACACAGCTAAGTGATAAGATGCAGCTTTCCATCCCCGAGGTCTTTCAAGAAAATTGTGCATTTTCGATTGCATTCTTCGAAATCGTTGATCTGTTCGATAGTTCTTGTAGGCTAACGGTTTACCCACAAGAGACATTTTTCGATGTACTACTCCACGTGGACGTGAATGCTAAAGGGTTAATTGTAAAACAGAAAACTTTGTCATAAGCTAGCTGAAAATAACTTGCCTCTCCACGATTGACAGGTAGCAAGCAGCGTTGCGCTTCGTCTTCACCCGAGTTCGCCTCTGCAAAATGAAAGTTGTCTCATTTATCTTTTAGACTTATGATTTCTGATGCATGAAGAAACAGACCGGGTATTCCTGGATGCTCGGTGAAGAGAACCTTTCGGAGAGAGGAGACCTCTCTCTCTCCTCCAGGCGATGATCCAGATCCACCCACACTCCCTCCAATGCCACTAACACCGCCACTCACTCGAGCTGCCTAAAGTGCTTTGATATTTAAGTATTTAGCTAGATAAAATACAAGTATTTAACTAGTCAAGTCATTGTTTTTGTTCAGTACACAGGCACTAAGTCAGATGATTTCTTTTCTTACTAGTTAGAAGTTAGTTAGAAGAATTTCAAACTGTAAGACCTGTACTCAGATTTATCAAAAGCTTTAATCTTTGGCTTCACTATTTGATGAAAAAGCAAACTGCAAACTAACACCGCCACTCACTCGAGCTGCCTAAAGTGCTTTGATATTTAAGTATTTAGCTAGATAAAATACAAGTATTTAACCAAACAAGTGATTGTTTTTGTTCGGTATAAACACAGGCACTAAGTCAGATGATTTCTTTTCTTACTAGTTAGAAGTTAGTTAGAAGAATTTCAAACTGTAAGACTTGTACTCAGATTTATCAAAAGCTTTGTCTTCACTATTTGATGAAAAAGTAAACTGTTAAATTCCAAAATTTCAATGATAAAACTAAAAGAACCATAAAAATTCGAATCAATAGCCAAAAATCTGTAAAATGATTTAGAAGCTCTTGGAAATAATCGAGATAAGTGTCCAGAGCTGTAAAGCTTGAAAATCCGGCTTTGCGACAATGAGTCCGGGATCAATCCATGTTCGTTGTACTCAAATGTTTATCAAATTTGCAGAAGTTATTTTGAGGAAGAGAGAACACTCAAATTTTCAACGGTTTTAGGTTTCATTGAGGTCATACGGGTGAGGGAATAAGGCCAAGGAAAGTCCTTGAGATTTGTATAGTGTTACAAGTATTGTAACTGATCGCAATAACTAGTTTGTTCCTCTTGATTAAATAATTAAATTAATAAACTTGCTAAAGAAATTTTCAATCGATTAATGGTTACCGTATTCTCTCTAATAGTAGTGCACCCCGCCGAGCCGAGTTGATGACTATTTTACGGCTTCCAAGGGTTTGCAGAAGCTCAACACTCTAATCCCTCACTAGATCTCATCGTCAGCTACATTTTCCGACCTCACAGGTTCTGATAAACGATTTTCGAGTTTTCGAGGAATTTAGACGACGATCAGGGTGCACTACTATTAGAGAAAATACGGTATATTCTAAAGAAAATGACTGAAGTAGTGATTGTTTTCAAGGAATACAAAATCAAAGCTTGCTTTTAGAACCAATTTTTAGTTTGGATTTGATTAGATTTTATAGAGAATTACTGCAGAGATTATTCTCAAGGAATTAGACTAGATAGTGACACTAAAGCTTACTTTTAAAACCAATTTCAGCAATTAAACTAAATCATAAACACTTTGTTTCCTTGATTCATAATTTATTCTTTTTAATTGTCAGAACCTCCTTTCCTATTTCCGGATAATCTACCTCTTTTCGTCTTTTCTCTCACTTTTGGCACCAATGCGTCAGAACAATTAAGCTAGTCACAGGTTTATAAAGGAAACTTTTCAAAGTTGTTTTGAAATGACTTCAAATTTGCACATAATTTGCACAAAAACTATATTATAAACACTTTGTTTACTTAATTCATAATTTATTCTCAAATTAAGCGCTTATCCGAGAAAAAAACACCTGCAAATGATAAACGAAAAGCTTAAATTAGCATTTAAACATAAATAAATTTGTGTATAAACAAATTTCGATAACTACGATAGTCTTGAAGCGCTTTAGAAATCATATTAATCACGAGGAACACACTCTAGTAAAACAAAACCCTAAAAACTTGAACTTTATAAACTTAAAATTCTATTTAAAGCAAAATAATCTAGAGAATTTGATATTCTTAAACTAAATCAAGAACATTTAAAGTAACTCTACCTCTTCATCCATCAGAATTTAACCTTACAAGGTGCAGAATGTAAAATGCCTTTCAAAGATCCCAAGAAACTCAACGCCAAGCACTTTTCGTTTGCCGAACAAAGGAATATTGAGGTCGGAGCGCTCAAATCAAGCGTTTCTTTTCTCTTTTCTCATCTTTTGTTTCTTGCTAAAAGCAGCTATTTCCTTAAAAATTCGCATCGCTTCATTCCATCCGTTTTTTTTGTTTGTTTGCTCTGACTTCCAATTCCAACCACCAAAGAAACCCATTGAAACCGCCCACCGATCAAATAGAGCTCGTTCTCATTTCAAACAACAAAGAATGACCCACATATTGCCATCATTTTTTCGAGAAAAGCGTAAAAATGTTGAACTCAAATAAACATGAAATGTGAATTCAATTGAATCAATTCAATTCAATTCAAAAATTCAATTGAAACTCACCTTCTATTGTGGGTTTGTTGTATCCAGTATTTCTTTTGAATCAAAAGTTGTCAAGTGTCTTTACCAGTCATCATAACTGGGAAAAGCTCTGGAAAGATTCAAAAATTGATATAAATCGAAAATTGCAAAATAAAGAATGATTGAAAAACATGAAATTTCGAAGTTGAAGGTTGAGATTTCAATGGAGAATGAGAAAATCAAATTGATAGAAGAGGGGAAGAGGGGAAGAGGGGAAGGGGGGAGGGGGGGAAGTGTGCATCGAGTGGAGAAGAGAGTACTTGCAAAAAAGATAAGAAGGAATTTAGAGGAAGTTAAAAGATTTGAGTAAAAGGAAAAGGGGGAACAGAGGGGAACAGAGGTCGGGTACTTGAATGGGGGAAGTCAGATGATCACAGGTTCACAAAAGTTTTCTAAACTTCTGTGTTCTAAACCTACGTGATTTTCTGTTTTAAGCTACTTAGAATCTGCGTCATTCTAAGTATTCCCGGTTTAAGCTCTGGTTTGTGAGTAAGATTGAGATTAAGTGCAAGATTTGGCTGAGGATCACAACTATAGGCTACCGCATTGCAAAACGTGCTACGGATAAAATAGAAACTAATTCCTTTAGAGAACAAGAAGGATTCTCGGTTTAAGCTCTGGTTTGTGGAGATGAGATTAAGAGCAAGTTGGCTGAGGTCACAACTATAGGCACGCATTGCAAAACGTGCTAGGTAAATAGAAACTAATCCTTTAGAGAACAATGCCGACCTCTGGTTTTGAGATTAAACATAAACAAAAACCGAGAACAAGGACGTAAAAGCAAATTTTCTGTGAGCAAAGTTTGCTAACTATTCAATGACACGCAGACATTAAGGTCATTTCCACTTTTCTTAACCCTATTGAATGTCATATGGATTCGATGAGCGGATAACATCACCCTTCTCTTTCGCATTCTCAAATCAAAACCACCTGTAGATTTCTGAAAAGAAAAAAAAGAAAACACGGAATTCCTGCAGAACTTTTTGACGGAATTGAACTCAGGAAAAGGCAGCTGAAAAAAAAAACTTACAAGTTGAAGCTAGATTTTTAATGATTTAAAATAAAAACTAAAAACTAGAAAATGACAAATTTCTATTACAAAATTGATCGAATTTTCTGTAATAGCTTGAAGATTTGAAGAAAATTGGGGAGATAATTGAGGCTTTTGAAAGATTAGTTTTTTTATTCTGATGAGTTGCGAAAAAGAGTGGGTGTATAACGGTTTAAAGAAATCAAAAAAAAAGATAGAATTTTTGTTTTGTTTTCTAGAAATTAATCGCGTTTTCGTGCTTGGGATCAATTTCATTGTAAAGAAGTGAAACAAAAGGAAATCTTCATTGTAAAGAAGTGAAAAAGGGAAATCTTGAAGTAGAAACTAACAAATTAACAAATAAACAAACAAACAAACAAACAAACAAACATAACAAACAAACACTAACAAACTAACACTAACAAACAATCTTGAAGTAGAAACTAAGCCTCAAACTAACAAACTAACAAATTAGTCACACGATTTGTGGACAACTTTAGATTTATTGAAAAGTTGTCCACAAATCTTCAGTGAAAAGAAAAATTGTAGTCTTTCAAAGTGTTCCGGTTATGAAAGAAAAAAAAAGGTTAACAATGGATGGATTGAGGAAGGAGAATAAGGGTTTTAGCCTTTTTAAGTAGGACAAGAAGCTTTGGGACACTTTAATGGGAAGTTTGGGTAATAATTTTTGCATTATCGACTTGTTGAAGTCTTTATGTGCAAATTTGAAAGTCATTTCAAAACAACTTTGAAAAGTTTCCTTTATAAACCTGTGACTAGCTTAATTGTTCTGACGCATTGGTGCCAAAAATGAGAGAAAAGACGAAAAGAGGTAGATTATCCGGAAATAGGAAAGGAAGTTCTGACAATTAAAAAGAATAAATTATGAATCAAGAAAACAAAGTGTTTATGCTTTAGTTTCATTGCTTAAATTGGTTTTAAAAGTAAGCTTTAGTGTCACTATCTAGTCTAATTCCTTGAGAACAATCACTTCAGTAATTCTCTTTAAAATCTAATCAAATCCAAACTAAAAATTGGTTTTAAAAGTAAGCTTTGGTTTTATATTCCTTGAAAACAATCACTACTTCAGTAATTTTCTTTAGAATATACCGTATTTTCTCTAATAATAGTGCACCCTGATCGTCGTCTAAATTCCTCGAAATCTCGAGAACCGCTTATCAGAACCTATCGATGTGGGGTCGAAAAAGTAGCTGACGATGAGATCTAGTGGAGGATTAGAGTGTTGAGCTTCTGTGAAAACTTGGAAATCGTAAAATAGGCATCAACTCGGTGCGGTGCGGTGCAAGATTATTAGAAAGAATACGGTAACCAAATCCAAACTCAAAATTGTCTTAAAAAGTAAGCTTTAGTGTTGTATTCCTTGAAAAAAAATCACTACTTCAGTAATTTTCTTCAAAAACATCACCAAAACTAAACTCTTTTGCTATAAAAAGCCTCTCCAGCCTAAATTGATTGTGAGCTCAAGGTGCTTTCTCGTTCCCAAGACCAAGAACCATCACGCAAGAGAAGCGATTTTGAAACGATTTTTTTCTGACGCACATTCGCAAGCAGATGCACAAAAATAACTTGGTTAGGCTCCGGAAATAGGTGAAGAAGAAAAAGAGGAGAAAAATTGGGGATTGTGAAAGTGAAGGGAGACAATCGACACCCTTTTTCCCCATCACAACGCTGAGAAGCCATAATTGTCGGTTGTAGTGGGGCGAGAGACCTGGGAGACAATCGTTTAGTAAGGCATAAGACCTACCCTGGCGAGAATGGGACACATGTCGTTGTCCTCTGGCTGACCAGGTGCCAGAGCGTTCACCTGGCAATCCAAAAGTCGCGGGTTCGAAATCCCGCGCCGACTATGTTTTTTTATTTCCAACCGAACCCATGTCAAACTGTCAGTATTTAATGGCTTTGTTAAAGGTAAACTTATTTAAATTAGAGCAGACAATGAGACTTCTATCAAGCAAATTTTTTGATTGTTTTTTAAACTAACCATAGCTTGCTTTAAAAAGTATGAAAATTTGAGTGAAACATGTAGGGAAAAGTGTTAAAATTTATGCATTTGAAGGTTTTGGTACTAATTGAGAAAGGGAATTTCCGCTTTGACAAGAAAACTATTGATATTAGACTAATCTTTCTAGACAATCTTTCTAGACTACGAAACAGCTTGTTAGTTTAATGTAAGTAAATCTAAAACTTAAATATAATTGTAATTAAAAACGTTTCCAAAGCCTCATAGTGACTAGCTCACCGCGACAACAAACGAAATTGAGTTTGACAACGTGAAAGTACAATTATGCCCGAAAAATTTTGATCGATAAACACTTATGAACATTTGAGGTTATATTTTTGATTTCTGAATGAAACACGTTTACGGGAAAGAGATTTTTCTGAAGGAATCCGATCCTCAAAGCAATCAGACAACACAAATGATGACAAGAGGAGAGGAAAGAGAAGGGAAAGAGAATGAAAAAGGTAGAAGAGTGTGTCTAAATGGGATCTCAGATTTCAGAAGGTCTAGCAGATTTACCGGGTTTAGCATAAAGTAAATTTGCATTAAATAGCAAGCTAATAGAATCTATTTTCTTATAATTTTCAAAGTTTTACTATATTATAAATATAATTCGATTTGTTATCATGATTTCCCTTCACGTTAGATGATCCATAGTAGCATCTAACTAGAGATAGTGAGGAAGTCAGGAAGTCAGGAAGTCACTTCTAGTGACTCTAGTAAATTCTAGTGAAGAAGTGGTCAGTTTTTAATATCAAAATGCAAATTTGTGATGATGGATTCACCGATTTTTGATAAGAATAAGAAAAAGGAGTTTTGAAAACTGCTTGCTTGTTCTCTTGTTGAATAACCAAAACAAAGTTATCTTCAAATTACCAGCAGTAGTCTACTCCAACACTTTATATCCAAAAAAAAATTAACGAAATGGTTCAGATTACATCGAGAGAGCTTTTCCAAGAATTGGCATCGAAAAATTCAGCTCAAGAGAGCTAAGAGCCACGTGTGTGGCTCTTAGCTCTCTGCCTCTTCTCTTTAACAATCCCAACGCCTATCTACATTATGCATGGGTGTCATTTTACGAGCCCTATCCTTTTTTGCTTTTCTTTCACGAGCAACACATTTCTATGTCTTTTTTTGAGGTGTTGTTTTGGGATTCATGAAGAAAAGCTTCATGGCTTTCACGATTTCACGAGCAAACACGACTTTGAGTCTCTGAAATGCATTTTTATTGTGTTTGGATTTCCAACTTTCTTTGGTATGATAAGGTTTGAGTTGAAGGCTAGAGTAGAGTTGATATTACGGTGATAAGGATAACCTTATGGAAAACTATTGACAACTACTGAGAGTTTAACTGGCAAGCTACGGCTACCGGCACCAACAACCAACACTATGAGATTTCAAGATGTTGTTTTCATTGTTGTTTTCTACTGTTTTCAAGATGTTGCAAGAAAAAACTATCATTCAAAACTATTATTTACTATAGTTTCTTATGATTTGCTC